AATTTTTTGAGGACTCTCCACACTGTTTTCTAGCACAGCTGCACCAGTTTGCGGTCTCAATATATCTGACTCATATCTGAGCAGCTTGACCCAGAAAGGAGGAGATAGTCATAGGCAGAAAGGACAGCACAGACACAAAAAAAGATCTTCCAAAAATTGAAGCTTCCTGAGAGCTCAGGTCATGTGACTGAAAGTGGTCCACTTCTTTCACCTACCCATAGATGGCTTCCTCAGCCAGAGCTCAAAAAGCCCACCTTTGGGGAACTCTCTCATGGGTAGGTATATGATGGGCACAAGCAAGATGGTAGACATTTTCCTGATAGATTTCCAAAATAACGAGTGCCACCACCAGGTCCCCTTCTCTGTCACACACTCTCCTTATGGTTTTGCGGGATTTCCAGGGACAGAATGGCTGGCCCTTCCCTGGATCAGGTGTTAAACCCTTCCTTATCCCCATCTCTACTTTCTACCTTACTAAGGAACTTTTCTACAATCCCTTATTTACCCACTTTAGCATTTCCTAAATATTCTTCTCAATTTTATGATTGCATCTTTCCTGGTTTGTTAGGAAAACAAATCTATTCCCACCTGGCTGATAGCTAATTTAAAGCATATTCCTGTCCTCGGGCTAATGTCTTTATGACACTATGACACTAACCAGCTACTATTGATGTTAGCTTTTGTTGGCCAGGAGCCATACATCTCTACCAACAAGAACTTGGCATAGGCTAGAGTAAGGCCAGTATGAGAAAGATTAACTACAAATAGGAAAATAAATGAGGGACCACCATGATTCAAAGCACATAATAACTAGTCAAATATGTACTAAGTAGGTGAATAAACATACCTGTGTAAGACTCTAAAAAGGATGAATAAGGATGACAGTTCTCATAAAAGAGTATTCCAAAGCTTTTGTATTTCAAACACTAACGAACATTTTTGTTTTGTTTTTTAAATTGGGAAAGGAAAAATCAACAAACGATTGCTACCTTTTTATTTTTCCAAGTAAGGACATTTTAATAAAACTATTATCTCCATTACTTCTCACTCATGAGACAATAGACCCTTTGACACCAGCAAAGAAGGAAGGATATAATCACTGAATGAGGGACAGTCTTTCCAGAGACAGGTTCATTGGCACATTAGATAGGGGTCTTAGCTGTACATTATAGAGTCTTCTTCTAGCTCATTTAAGCATAAAACGATGTATTACAGAGTCTAGATAGTCCACAGACTCATTAGAGGAGCTGAAGGACTTCCAGTATTGAAGCCCCACACTACACCAGAGAACCAGGCCACTGAAGAATCTACCAAATCTACCAGCAGCTGCCACAACAGGTGAGTCCTGGTCCCCTCAGTGCCTCAGAATAACCACCATCTCCATATCCTATTCAACTCTCAACATTATCCAATGGCATATCAAAACCTTGAGTGAGTTCAGCTGATTGGCACAACCTAAATGTACCACATCCCTAGATCTCTGTCCTCCAAGGTGTCTGGGAAATGTATGTTCAATTTTCAGCCTCTTCAGTTATAGGATAGCACATGGGGCTATAGAAGGTATGGAATGAATCAGTTTACCACTGTTGGTGAGTTTTGCTACATACTCATGAAATGTGTCAAGGTCTGATGCTAAACCACAGACTCAAATTTGGGCATGAAAGCCATCCTGAGGGATATGTGCTGTCATGCTTTATTGAGAAGGCCCTTGAGGTCAACAGACTCACGCAGGTACCATGACTCTTCTCATGAAGAGAGTTTGCTGCCTGGAACCACAGCATTAACCACACCATAGTGGATATCTGTTGTATTCGCAGCTGCCCGTCAACTTTCGTGTAGCTTTTTTCCACATTTCAGAATATTTGCTTGTAATGAGTCCTGCCTCTCCAATAGGAAAATCAGAATTCAAATTTCCAGACTCCTTTGCAGCTAGGATTCAGCAAACAATCTGAGTTCTGACAGCCTGATGTCCCCACTTAAGATTGAAGAGCCTAAATAATGCCATTTTAAAATTAAGACCCCCATTAAAAGCAACCTCGGGCTGCACATAGCAGCAGTCTATAAAAAAATCCTGCAGATTGTTCAAGGCTGAAACCCCTCCCCAATTAGCCAATGAGAGGAGGACAGTAACATTCCTGCGGGCTGAGACAAGGGTTGCTCCCCCATGCCTAACTCACCTCATAATTGGTCATTTTCAAAGGATTCTCAGAGGGCCATGATTGGGGCTCCACCAAAAGTAACGGACACTTCACAGGTACTGAATGGTCGAAGCTGTTGCCAGGGTGTTATACAAATGTGATTGGTGTACAACATATGTACTGTAACACCCCCATCCCTTACCCCTTAAAAACCCTGTTCGCTATTGTTCGGGGCTCCCCCCTGCTGCTGCTGCTGCTGTGTCGGTAGGCGGGTGAGACCCTGCTCGAGCTTGTAATAAAGACCCTTTTGTTCTTGCATCGGTATTGGCTTCTGAGGTCACTGGGGACTCGTGATTCGGGCACAACAAGATCTGATGCAGAGAAGAGTAGCGTGAAGAAGCGAGTAGCACGTGAAGCTTCCACGTGTACTGACATGAACAGCAGTGGAAGCTCAGCCATCTGAGGCAATGATAAGGTCTGGTTCCCAACTCAGAAGTGGCGGCGGTGCTGGCGGAAGTGGCTGCTACCTAGTGCTCAGTGGTAGTAGCCCTAGAAATGCCACTCTCCCCCTTGGGATGGTCCTACAGCAGAGTTTAGGGTATGGTTCCTGAAACATTACCTCAGTCCTATTGCTTGGCCCTCCAATGACTGTTTATCCTTTAGGATAAAATCCCGCGTCTATAATCCCCAGCCAGAGTGGATGCTGTTGTTAGCAACTGTGGAGGGACCTGATGTGCTGGGTGAGCCAGGAACACCCGAGTTGGAATTCAGACCTCTCTACCATTCCTGCAGCAGACGGTGTCTACCTAGGCCTAATCCCCCATCTCCTTCTTGAGTCAGGTGCAGATGGGGGTGGGGGTGGGGGATGTCCTTTCTCTCTGACTCCCCCCATCCCAGGGGCTCCTATGGCACAAGTATGCTCTTTTTCATGTTTATTTTGTTTTCATGTTTATTTTGATAAACAACACTTTGTGCAGGGAAGGTGTTCAGTAAATGTTTGATGGATGAATGAATGAACAGTTAAGTACACTATAAAGTTATGCCCAGGTGATTCTATAATCCAGACCCTGTGCTATTCATTACAGTATCCACTAGCTACACATAGCTGCTAAGCACTCTAACTATGGTTAGTACATCTCAGGAACTGAACTTTTATCTTATTTTATTTCAGTGGATTTAAATTTCAAAATGTATATCCATTTCCATTTTTGGAAAACTTTTAGCTTGTTGAACATGTTATGTAAATGTACTTTTTCAGCAGTAGATTTTATGAAGGCTAAATATAGATCAAATATTTCCAACAAAAATTTAGCACATGTTCAATACGTGTTGAGATGCTCTGTGATTGTAAACTACCTATTGGATTCCAAATACTTTATGAAAAAAAAAGAATGTAAAAGATGCCATTAATATTTTAATATTAATTACATGTGGAAATTATAATATTCTGGACATATTAGGTTAAAAAATATATTATTAACATTGATTTCACCTGTTTCTTTTTACATTTTTTCATGTGTGACTATTAGAAAACACAGAATTAAATATGCAGCTTTCATTAGATGTCTGTTGGACTGCACAAATCTGCACATTGGTGTGAGTGTCACTCAGCAGGCAGATGGGGTGTTGAGCACAGGTTACCTCTGAATGGCGTGTTCTTTAATCCCTATCGTTTATTTCTTGACACTAAATTGGATCTTGACGCACAGGGTAAAATCCACCCCCATTCGTAGGATAGCCCAGGGTCCTTTCATTGCTTTTGATACAGAACATTGGCCCAGAGACACTTGCCTGGGGGGGCGGGGGGAGATGACTGAGGGTTTCAGAGGGTGAAGGAAACAAGTCAAAGGCAGGCACAGCGACTCCATAGAGGCAAAAAAGATGCTAAGACAGAGACTAACAGGCAGATTCAGGGATGCAGCGACTGCAGAAAATGGTGACAGCAAAATGGAGTCAGAGACACTGAAAACTCACACAGTTCCAGATAAAGAGGTAAAAAGCTTGGGCACAAGTGTTAACCTTGTAGTTTCTTTTCAGCTTTGATGTTTTGTGACGGAGATAATGGCAGAGAGAGAAGACAAGGCAAGGATGGGAAGATAGAGAGACAAAAGGAAGGCAAAGGAGACAGGTGAACAGCCAAGCATGACTGACCTTGAACCCTCCCCTCACACCCATGCTCACCCTTGGCTCCTACTGTAAGTCCAGCCACCATCATCCTCTATCCCCACCCAAAGACGGCTGAACCACTCTTTGCTCATCCCAACCCCTTCTCCTTTCTCCAGCATCCTCCATGAAGACTTCTCCAGCTCCAGCCCACGCCCCGCCCCCTCCCCTCTCAGCTCCTAAAGCACGCCCACATGCCCTAACCACAGAGCACTACCGATTTGGAATTGGCCCTGAGTCCATGAGCACATCTTGACACCCACAAGAGAGCTGTGGGTCTATCAAGCTCCAAACCCCATCTCCTCCATCCCAGGATTCCCCGTGATGCCCAGTCTGATGCTGAGTATCACTAAGTGCTCAGCAAATCCTTGTGAACTGGCCAATCCTCAAGGAGTGCCCACAGGGCAGCCTAACAGTCCACTTGCTTAAGCAACAGCTTCCAGGAGGCCGACCACGCCAGGGCCATCTCCTGGGCTCCTGCGCCCCCTGCCGGCCAGGATGGGACCTGTTTACAGGACGAAGCGGGTCGCTGGGGTTCCGCCAGAGAAGCTGGTCTCATGCACCATCTGAGCGCTCTGATGAGGTCGGTGGGCACGGCCAGAAGCACCTGCCGCGTGCTCCCTCGGTGTCGCGGGGCAGGGGGGGGGGGGTCGGGTGCCTACAGTGCTGCGGAAGGTCCCCACCCCGCCCTGGGGGCGCTCAGAGCTTCTCGTCCAACTCCAGGCCCTGGTTCTCCTGGGCGCCCCCGCCGCCTTGCGTCCCACCCAGGTAGTTCTGGATCGCGGAGGCGCAGTCCAGCCTCTCCATGACGGTCATGAGGTAGTGAAGCTCCTGCAGGCTGCCGTTCTGCTCCTCAAACAGCTCCAGGATGGCCGCGGCCGGGCTGCGCTGGCAGGACAGGAACCTGGGGGGATGGAGCGTGCACTGGAGCCAGATCCAACCCTCCCCCCTGCCCTGGCCCTCATCCCACTCTGGTTTGCCTTCCAGGGCCCCCCGGGCGGTGAGAGGGCCCCCGACCTTGAGATCCGAGCTTGTCCCGGCTCAAAGGCTACTTCTCTCTGGGCCCCATTTTCCTCCTCCTTCACCGAGGGCTTGGACAAGAGGACCTCTAAGGTTGCTTCCTGCTCTGACATTCTGTCATTGCCTTCTCCATTTCCCCCCACCCCAAACACGCTCTCCCCTCCCTCTCTCCCGGGTCACCACATCCTGCCCACCACTCAGGAAACAGTTGCTCTAAACCATGGCTTCACCATGACCCTCCCCTGCTCCAAAGCCTTTCAGAGTCTCTCTCACGGGTACTAACCAAGCCCATACTCCAGACTCTGGGCTCCTCCACAACGTGGCGCTGCCCTTTCCTTCTGCCCTTTTCTCCCAGCCCCCATCCTGAACCTTCCTCCTGTGGGTCTATCCCCTTCCCACCTTGCACACACCACACTCACGGCCAGTTATTCTTTCCAAACAGAAGGGCTGTTCCCCCCTTGCCTACCACCTCCTCCCAAAAGCCTTTTCTAATTCCCACTTGCTAGGTAGCGGAGACGTTCTGCACACATACACACCCCCACCCAGTGCAGACTTCTGGTCATGGCTGCTACATGTTTTTGTTCTTCCTGCTTTAGCTATTTTGTGTCTCTGCTCTCAACTGTGCTATGCAATGTTGGACACATACGATAAGGCCCAAGGAACCCTCGCCTTTATTTTGTTAAACTCTCTGTATCCCTTACTGTAATAGGAGTTCCCGGGTGCTGGATCCAGGTCTCCGTCATCTTGTGTTCCAATGCTTAGCGTAGTTTTCCAGGACAGAGAGGGTACTTGATAAGTGTTTAATCGATAGGTGGTTTTTAAATCCACTCTGCTTTCAGCTGGGTCCAGTTCTAGTCCCATCTCCTGGGGGAAGTCTTTCCTGACCACTGCACTCATAGTCTGGGTTCCAGAGCTTAGCTCAGAATTGTTCTCCTACTGATTGCCAGTGACAGACACCATGGTTGCATTGCCCCCCATTACTACAAACACTTATTGAATCAACATGTGCCAGGCACTCAATTACATGCTTTATATACATTACCTTATAGACTGTATTCTGCCCCTCAGGGCACAGCATGTCAAGCACTCAGTATGTACCCAGTGATTTATGTGTTAATTGATTCATTTTTAAGTACTTATTGGGCACCCACTTATAAGCCAAGGCATCATTCTAGGTACTGAGAATACAGTAATAAATAAAAAGAACTGCTCTGTCATGGGGAACAGGGTGGGAGTAGCCATTCTCCGACCTCTAGGTTGCTCCCTTATCTGTGCCGCAGTCCTCAAGGTATCCTGGGAGCCCCCCACCCCAGCGCCCCCTCCTCTCCCATCCACAGAGCCTACCCATCTTACCGGATTTTCATGCCACAGAGCCCCAAGTGGGAGGCCAGGCGACGCCAGTCATTGCCTGTGATGCTGTTTGGCTCCAACAACATTTGCAGCTGCTCAAAGAGCTCTGGAGGCAGCCTGGGGCAGAGAGCATCCTCAGAGGGGAGGATCAGAGAAACCCATTCCGTTACACACACACACACACACACACACACACACACACACACACACACACACGAATTGTGTACGCGCCCCCTGCGGGCATTGGGGCAAGAATCCCAAACGTCCCCCAGCCAGCAGCCCAAGCGACCCCACCTCACCTGTTGCATGGGGGTGGTTGAGAGACAGGGGGTGGCGCCGCCCAGGATTCTTCCTCTGATGCCTGGAATCTGAGGATTTCCATGTACTTGGCCTCCATGCCCTGAGCCAACAGAGGGTCAGGGAACCCATTTAGGGATCATGAGACATCCACTGAATGAACCTGGGGAACCTGCCTCCATTCCTCATGTTTTACCATGAGACCCCAGGACCCCCTATCCTCTGCTTCCCTGGCCCCAGAACTTTCAACTTTAAGTTTCCCTACTGAGCTCTCTGGGAGCTGAGACATGGAGACCCAACACGGTACATCCTAACATACCAGGAGAAGTCTGGGTGAGGTCACGGGGCAGGGGAAAGCCTTCCAGAAATAGGGGCCCTGAACTCAGGCACTTGTGTCTCCTTCCCTCCAGCCTTTGGTTCCTCCTTGCAGGGGACGACCTGAGAACCATCTGCCTACTCTCCACCAAGATGCCACCATGGTTCCCCAAAGATTGTCAACCCTGATTTCTTCAAACCTTCCTCCTTAGAACAGTGGGATATTTAAGTCCCATCCAAGCTACTCGAGATCCTCTCCCTGGCCACGGTCCACACCGAAGATACACAGTATCATCTCTCAGATGCATATAGTCAACCTAGAAAGAGACCACTTCTCCCTGATGCCCAAGACCCTCTGGGCCAAGAGAAGGGGTTAATCTAGGGTTTGGTTCTTTTACCCTCCTACTGGATTCATCCATGGACAGATAAGAGAGAGTCAGGGATAAAGGGTAGCTTAGAGGCCAGGTGGTCTAAGCCCCTGGAAGAATGCCAACCACCTGCTGAATTATGTGATTGGGGCCATACTTACTGCGCACCAGACCCTTCACCCACTTTGCCCAGGACTCCCCCAGGCCCTGCCCTTCCCCTCTGCCCCTCAGCTCCAACTCACGTCCTGGAAGGTGTGCATGGTGACAATGATCTCATTGGTAAGCGCTGAGCAGTCCTCATTCTCATTGGCTACAAAGAGGGGAAGACATGGCAGGCATGAGAGGGAAAGGCCTGGCATAAGAGGACAGGAGACCTGAAGGGGACCTGAAGGGGACTCCACAGTAAGGCTTTGGAAATCTGGAGACATTGGGCAGGACGCTCCATCTTTCTCTCCACAAAGATCAATGTGGCTCTTCACAGACCTTAGAGAAGGTCTGCATGCATGCCTGACCAAATGGGGAGCTGCAGAGGCGTGAGGGCAAGGGGAGGGGAGGGGCCAGGGCAGGAGCTGGGCCAGGGCCCCTGAACTACCTGCTTTCCTCCGGAAGCAGAAGGAACGGAAGGGGCACTTTCCATGCCAGATGTGGAGATGGGGAACCAGCTGGTAACTGCTCTCATCCACATTCTCCCAACCTGGGGAGGAAGCAGAGCGGAGGGCCTCAGAAATGAGGTCTTCCACAGGTATTTGCCGGAGTCCTAGTCTGTGGCACGCGCAGGGTGCCGTGGTGAGGGACGAGGAGGGAGCGAAAGCAGGAGTGGGGCTCAAGTGGATGGGGGTCCTCCGAGCCTGGACAGGGACCCTGCGAGCAGCCTTCCCCTGGCACCACACACCTCCTACACACACAGCACACAGGCCTCCCACCTTCCACAGAAGCAGCATCTGTCCACAAACCACACAGACGTCCCAGGCCCCGCGAGCAAGTGTACCAGCAGGTGCCACAGATGAAGGAGGGCAGAGGAGGCTAGGACTCCTCCTGAGACACTGGCCCCAGCCAGGTGGGACAATAAAAGCCACCCCTCCCCTCGCCCTGCCCCTCCCTGCCTCATCCTGTCTTCCCTCGGTGGGGCCACGGCTGAACGGGCCGCAGAGGGCGGAAGTGGGCGGGGCCTGGGGCTCCTGGAGGCAGCTGCAGACCCCAGGGGTCCGCTGGAAGCTGTTGCCTGCCCTGGAGTCTCTGAAAGGAACTTGTGGGTCCTAGATTTCTACCCAGCGGGAGGTCCCGACCCCTCCCTCTTAACCCCCCCAACCTCCCTCCCTCACCCTCAGAGATGTACTTGAGCTTCAGGCACTGGTCCCCTCGGGCCCCCGTGAAGTCGAAGAGCTGGCAGGGCCCACGCAGGCGCCCGCCGTGGGGCTGCTCGTTGGCCATGGCCCACTGCAGGGCGCACGGCGTGTTGTTGAGAAAGTAGATGCGCAGCTGCAGGTGGGACTGTCCCGGCGCCAGCGGCGAGCAGAACACGGCCAGCTGCAGCCATTTGCGGACTTCCCGGCCCGCGGGGGCCTCCAGCACACAGGTGTAGAGGCTGCAGAGAAAGACGGTGACGGGAGAGGCTGGGACCCCAGTGCATCCGCCGCCACGCTCCTCCTGCGCTAGGAGCCAAGGAGAGCAGTCTAGGACATGGATAGGGAGGAAGTGGCGGGTAGTCGGGCAGGTGGGGGGATGAAAAGTGAGTCAGGTCGCAGTGAGCATCTCCAAGTGGGGAGAAGAGCCAGTAAGCATCCTCCAGCACTGGAGAGCGGGGAGGTGGGATCCAGGCCACAATGCTTGTGCGGGGGCCCACACACAGCTGGCCCTGCTCTGCTCAGGGGTGGGAAGGAGCAGCAGAAGAGCCCGAGATGCTAGAAAGACAGAGCTAAGGACAGACATGAAAGTTCTCGAGAACTGGAGAGGATAGGTGGCTCTGATGGGTCAGGGACAGTTGTGAACAGGGATGCAGGGTAGAGACAGTTTTAGAGTGACAGAGCCGGGATGGGTCAGGCCCCTTCCAGACGGAGGGCTAGGGATGTGGTTTTAGACGGGCAGAGAGACCCCGTAGTCCTGGACAGGGTTTGTGTGAGACAAGCTACGCTACCCACTAGGACAGAGGGACCAGGATGGGATACAGGGGCATAAGGGATTTGTGGGCCATCCAGAACAGATCAAGGGGCTGTTCTATACAGAGAGATAAAGATGAGGCGGACAGAGAAAATGGGCAGGAAGACCAGGCCGACAGGCCTACCTGAAGTGAGAGAGGTGGATGCGACACTCATCCCTGGAGCTGTGGGCCCCTGGCCGTCCCAGGGGCCTCCAGACCTTGGCATCGAGCAAGGTCGTGTTGCTGCTGTAGGTGCGTACATGGCTGGGCTGCTGGGCACAGTGCTTGAACGTGAGGGTGCAGGGCTGCAGGAAAGAGGCCCCGTGGGGGCCACATGCCACCACAGGGCTCACCAGCCCCTGGGCTCGGGACAGCGATGGGGCATCCAACAAGTCCCACACCAGGATCAGCGATACCCGCTCCTGGCGGCCCACAGCCACAGCACCTGGGGAGAACAAGAGTTGAGAGATGGACCTGACAGGCAGGCACACCGCCACCCCAGGAGGGGCCAGGCCACAGTGGGAGAGGGGGTGGACCAGAGCCAAAGAGAGGGGGTGCCTAGCCAAGACCAGGGTGAGGCAGTGTGGAAGGAGAGAAAGACTGTGAGCTGGCCTGCCGTGTAATCCTCAGCAAGTCACCCTCCTTCCTTCCAGGGCTGGCGCTAGCCCACACGGGACTTACGGGAATTTGCACATTTGCAAAAGGTGCTCTTGCTCCAGACACTTTCCTTTATTGAGAATTGTCATAACACACCGTTCATTACTACCAGGCACTTTGCCTCTACCTGTCAGGCACTTGTCATAAAAATATGTAATCTATCCATCTTTGGAGTCAATAAAGTCATACTAAAGATGTAAACAATTTTCAAAATTACGGAGATGTCTATGAATGATGCTCCCATAGGTGCGATGCTCTTGTACAATGTGCATCGAACAACTACATGCTGAGAAGGGAGAGGGTGCTGTTACCTGGCGGGATGAGCAGAGAGATACCCATGTCTTGGAGCATCAGGCAGCCGCCACGGTGATCCACCTCTCGAGCCGAAAACACCAGCAGCTTGTGCATCAGCTGACGGACGACGGTCTGGCCTTGAGTGGGTGTGTGTAGTTCCTGGTAGAAGGCAGCCATCTCCGGCAGCGTGGCTGGCGGGCACTGCCTTGGGGACTCATTTTCTGGAAGAGGAGTGGGATGGGACACTGGCTCCCCTTGGTTATCCAGCTTCCAGGAGGCCCTCAGCAGCCAGTGAGGGCAGTGCCATCGAAGGCACTGGACCAGAAGGAGGGCACTCGCCACTGGGACCCCCACCAGCAGTAGGAACTGGATGGGTTGGACGGAACACTCATGGGAGCACATCCACCTAGTCATTCGATGCTGCCAGCCCCCGTGCACCCCTGGGCCAGCCAAGGCCAAGGACCTGAAGGACAAAGGAGGTCAGTGCCAAGTAAACCTTTTCAATGTCATGGAGGCCAAGACTTGGCTCCCAGGTGGCTGCGATTGTCTTCATTGCAGTGACTCCTCCATCAATTCCTTTAACAGAACCTCACCCATCTGTGTCTTACTCAAGAACCTACCATCACTCCCCATGGCCTACTACGTCAAATTAAACTCCTCTGAGGCAGAAAGAGCTTGGGTTTGGAGATACATGATGTAAATTTAAATGCCGCCTTGGTCACTGGCTGAGAGAGTTTGCCATATTGCTTAATGTGCCTTAGTTTCTGCAACTGTCAGAATATCCATCTTGATCCATAGAGAAATCTTTAAGTGGAAAAGCAAGTCGCAGAGAAGTAAACATTCTCTGATCTCATTAATGTAGATCACAGAACTATACACAAGTACGGATACATATTTATGGGTGTGTATATGTCAATTACAGAGAAAGGTTTGGGGCAGTGTTTTGCAGTTAAGACAATGTAAGCCACAAATGTAATTTTAAACTTTCTAGGGGCCACATTAAAAAGGCCAAGGGGTCCCTGGGTGGCTCAGTTGGTTAAGCATCTGACTTCGGCTCAGGTCATGATCCTGTGGTTTGTGGGTTCGAGCCCTACATCAGGCTCTGTGCTGACAGCTCAGAGCCTGGAGCCTCCTTCAGATTCTGTGTCTCCCCCTCTCTCTGCCTCTCCCCTGCTCATGCTCTGTCTCTTTCTGTCTCTCAATAATAAATAAAAACGTTTAAAAAAATTCATAGGCCAAAAAAGCCCAGGAGGAATTAATATTAATAATATATTTTATGTAACCCAGTACATTCCAAACATCATTTTGAGAGGAAATCAATATAAAATTATTGCGATAGTTTACATTCAGTTTTCATACTAGGTCTTTGAAATCCGTGTGTATTTTACACTTCCAGCACATCGCAATTGAGACATGCTCTCTTTCACGTGCTCAGAAGCCACATGTGCTGGTGACTCCTATCTTGGAAAATGCAGGGCTAAGAGGATACACCCCCAAACTATTCCCACCCCTCACTACTGAAAGAGACAGGAAATTAAGAGGGTGGAAGGTGGAAAGGAGGACCTTCCATTTTCTCAAACTCTTTTCTTCTGTATTTGAATTTTTCACCCCGAGCCTTTTATATTAACTTTGTAATTCTTTTTACAAGCTATCTAAAGTGAAAAAAAGAATTACCTCTGAGAGCACAGCAATTGTGAGGATAGCATGAGATCATGTGAAAAGCATTTGGAGATGACAAAACACTGCCCAAATACATTTCCTTATTTACGCCCTCACCCCCACCACGCCCTTGCTACCGGAAAGGTCCAAAGGTGGCTCACGGGGATATGTGAAATGCAACAGGGGTAACAAAGTCAAAAGTGGAAGTAAAAAAGAGACAGAAAAACCAAAGTGGGAGCCTCCAGTGAGGCTGGACTGAGGCTGGGCCAAAGCACTTAACTGCCTGCTCACCCGGTTACCAGCAAGGGCCTAGGATTAGGACCTGGGCCTTCTAGCAGCTTCCCCATAAGGATGCCACACCTTCAGGAGGCTCCCCAGTATGCCTCCTGCTAATACTTTGCCTCTTCCTCCCTTAATTTCCAGCACCCTGCACTCCTGCAAGCCGGTGAGCCTCACACCTGGCTGGTTCCAGCCTCTGGTCCTTGCTCCCTGCTGCTGCTCTCCCCACCTGCCTCTTCCACCCACCTAGACACCCTCTCCAGCTCCGCAGCGCCTCCCCCTGGCTCACCCACCCTTGACAGTCTCACCCCTCAAAGTTTCTCCCTGCTGCCATCCCACATTACTGAACAACCCTTGACTACATGCCGTCACGCGTGCTTTTCCCACCCCTACCGGGTTGGTGCTCAGAATACAGGGACCACACACTGCGGGAAGTTCAGTCCTGACAAAGAGGACAGATGTCTTACGCAGTTCTCAAGATGCTCCTGAGAAAATGTGATTCATTCACTCTGTAGTTGAGTTCTGATACAATGGCTTCTTTCAAAGTCCTGGAGCTCCCTGTGGTTGATTCACCAGGGTCTGTGCAAGAAAAGTCTCTGGCATCCATTCCTCCCCAGCCCCTTCACTCACGCCCCAGCCCAGCACTGGCGCCTTGCCCCCAGACCCCAGCCCCTCCCTTGCCCCCCTTCCTTCCTTCCTCAGGGCCCACGAAACCCAAGCTCCTTTCCTTAGGTTCTCCCAGACAGGGGAAGAAACTCCTCTGTATTCTCAGGGTTAAGGACTGGGGTGGGATCTACCCCCACCCCCGTGTCCTCATTGAAAACATGGACAGGGAGGAAGGTGTGACGCTGTTCCCTTTGCCTTAAAAGTCAACCCTGCAGACAAAGTGCTCCAGCTAAGCCTCCTGCAGGGCACACAAGTGAAGCGGGCGAGCTGGCAGGGCCCCCAATCTGGTGGGAAAGGGGGGTTGGAGCAGCCAGCCTCCCCTTATGGCGCATCCATTCCTTTCGGTTCTTACGCATTAAAGATAATTGGAATTATAACTGCAATAGTAACAGCTAACTTTTATGGAGCTTTACTCTATACCACCGTGTTAGAGCGCTCTGTGGGGCCTAACTCATTTGATCCTCACAGTAGCCTGAGCTAGGTGTTATTTTTATCTCCATGTCACAGATAAGGAAGCCAAGTTTTCTCCCCACGGTGAGGATGTATGGGAGGTTATTAAGCTACAAGTGAATGCAGAGGGGAGGATGAACAAGAATGACAGCCGTGTTCCAGAAATACTACCTCTCTCTCCAGGCCCGTTCTTTTCCCCCAGGGCCTCTCTTCCTTTCCGCTTCTAGACGGCATGAAGTTGCAAGAGAAAGGAACACAAATAAAGTCAAAATAAATAAAAATACCGAAAGGCATATCCTCGGTTCCATAGGGAGCAATGCTCCTGCCGCCCCCTGCTCACGAAGGGCCCCATGGCAGGTGATGGGCTAGCTAACATGAAAGAAAGGAGGGGCTCTGCTTTGTTTCCGTAGCAACAATCTTGCCGGGGCCTCCAAAGACCAGAGTCCAAACCCCCTCCGCCCCATTGGGTGGCACAGTAGAGTCTCCTTGCCCAGGCTTCCAACCTGGAAAAGTTGGCATATTCTCCCCAAAGCCTGGAGAAGCCTACTCATTAACTGTCCCCCAGATCAGCCACCTCTCTCCCAGGCTCGTAGCTCTCCAAGCTGCTGGGCCCTCACTCCATCCTCCCCCTAATCCCAAGAGGAGGTGGGCTCTGAATCTCCAGCAGGGTAACCAACTAAATGCAGCCTGGACTTGCCCAAGCCCATCCCTGACCCCTTAGTACCCGTGCCTCCAGCTTGCCTTGCTCCTGACCCCAGCTCATCCTGGGTAGCAGGTCCCCAAGATACGGGTCCTTTAGAATGCCGCCATCACCTGTCTCTAGGGAGCTTCCTCCTCCCCTACAAAGATCTGGGGACTCCTGCTGCAAAGCTTTCCTCATTTCCCTCGAGGAAACTCTCAACCCTTCTCCCACATCACTGGCCTTGACCATGTCTGCTCAAGCCCTGATAGATCTCACTATTCAAGCATGTCAAAAGTGCCAGGATCGATGAGTCCACACCTGTCACGGGCAATGTTCTTCAGCGTAGAACACATTTCCATAGTGCATATCTCCCAGGTCTTCACACCCACTGGGCACTTGCCCTCTCCCCTCTCCCCCTCCAGTGGAGGCTCTCCACACTCTGCCAGGGCTGGCTCAGCTGGCCTGGCTCCTCCCTCGTGCCCCCGGTGGCTCCCCTGCAATGCCCACCCCACCCCCGGCGGCCTCGGGGGTGCTCACCTTACTGTGTGGGTGCTCCCAGAGGCTGCCGGCTCATTCAGGAACAGCAGTTCCTTCTCTGAGAAACAGAGCAGACTCCACGGGGCCAGCAGACAAGTGGAGGTGGGCGGGGAATCCGGGCAGGAGTGGCCTGGAGCTTCCCGGCAAAGTCCTCCCTCCCAGTGACCTAAAGAAGGGTGGGGGAGTCTGTCCCTGTCTGTTGGCAAAGTCCAGCCGAGGTGCGGTAGTAGCGTAGCTGAGGATCCCAGAAGTCAGAGTACTTAACCGTCTGGGTCTGGGAGGGAGGAGACAGAGAAAGAGAAAACCTGGGTACAGGTGAACCCCTCCCTACAGTGCCCTCTGCTGGTGAGTGGCTGCCCCGGCCAGAGGCTATTGACTGGGCTGAAGGTAAGAGGAGGGAGCCCTAACAGGAGCTTCTCTAACTATAGTGTGCACACAAACCACATGAAGCATCAGGTTAAATGTGGGTTCCGATCCCATAGGTCTGAGCTGGAGCCTGAGAGTCTGCATCTCTAAGAAGCTCCCAGAAAACGCCAATGCCGCTGGTCCGGGAGCTTAGACAATGTCTGGTTCCACCCGTTTCCTGCACGGAGATGACAGAGGAGGCACTGAGAGGGTTAACGACTCACGAGGTGCTGCCAGCATTGGGGTGTTCCCCTATCTGCTCCCTGCCCACACTCAGAGTTGGCAGGAAAACTGCACTTGGGGGGGAGCTGTCTTTGGGCTATTTGCCAGCCTGAGTTCTTTTATAGAAATTCTGCTTAGGAAAGATAGTGCCACTGGAATGAAGGAGCCCTGTGAAGATGAATAGGTTTTTTTTCAGCTGTGTGCTGTTGTACTCTTAGCTCCTGGTACAACCTGGTCCATAGCAGGTATTTAAGAAAGACTTGTTGGGGTGCCTGGGTGGCTTAGTCGGTTGGGCGTCTGACTTTCGCTTAGGTCATGATCTCGCGGTTTGTGGGTTCGAGCCCCGTGTCGGGCTCTGTGCTGACTGCCAGCTCAGAGCCTGGAGCCTATTTCAGAGTCTGTGTCTCCCTCTCTCTCTGACCCTCCCCTGCTCACGCTGTCTCTCTCTCTCTCCTGGAAATAAATAAAAAATATTAAAAAAAAAAAAAAAAGAAAGAAAGAAAGAAAGAAAGACAGACAGACAGACAGACAGACTTGTTGAGAAGCTCTTGGGTGGCTCAGTGGGTTAAGCACCTGGCTCTTGACTTCGGCTCAGGTCATGATCTCACCGTTTGTGAGTTCCAGCCCTGCATTGGGCTCTGCACTGGTAAGTGCGGAGCCTGCTTGGGATTCTCTCTCTCCCTCTGTCTCTACCCTACCCTGCTCGTATGCTCTGTCTTTCTCTCTCTTTCTCAAAATAAATAAATAAACTTAGAAATAAAGAAAGACACACAGACAGACTTGTGGGATGAATGTGTAGACCAGTTCAAAGAGAATATGCTTTGGAGCCAATCTCCTGACACTGAACACAGGTGACTCGCCTGTCCGCTGTATAGTCTTAGGCAAATTACCCAACCCCTCTGAGCCTCCCTTCCCTTGTCTGTCAAATGCAGACAATAATATCTACCTCGTGAGGGATAAGCATTGTTATTATTGAGCTAATAACTAAAATGCTCACCCCAAAATGGGCACTCAGTGAGTGGCAACTCTTGTCACCGAGGGCCGGCCTCCTGCAGTTGAGGACCATGGTAAACTCCCCAGCACCCCCCCCAAACACACACCCAGTTATCTCATAGAAAATAAGTAACCACCACTGATTTAATCTCAGTTAATGATTTTCCAGCCCTCCTGTCCCCAACTGCAACCCCCTCCCCTCTGCCACCTTCCCCAGGGTAGAATCAAGAGGATGGGGTAAACACTTCTCAGGGGTTCCCAGGGCCCCAGAAGTGGAAAGATGAGGCAAAGGAGCAATGGAGAGCAGCCAGTCTGGGAAGGGGTCCTCATGAGCAGAGGACTAGCAAGAGAGAGGTGCTGGGAACTTTTATAGGGATGAAAAGAGCAGGTGTTAGTCTTTGATGGACAAAACTCTGAGTCACACAGGAGGCTGCTTTCTCCTCTGAGTCATGAAGTTATAGGGATTTGTGAAAATCTGTCAAGCTCAAGTTCTGAGCCGGGAAGGCCCATGCCAACTAGGCTATAACGAGAGGCTGCGTCCACATATCATGAACTCATTTCCAAAGCTGGTGCTTGCCTCACTTGGGGAAAACCCCAGTTACAGGAAAGTCCTGGGGAAATGTGAGGGTCCCCACCACCCCTGTGGACACAAAGCCGCCTCATGGAGTGTGCAGACCACAGGTTTCAGGAGGCTTGTAGGCCTGCGGCTGACCCCGCCCAGGAAGTCGGGGTCTTACAGAGCCTAAGCCTTCCATCAAAGGGTCCACTCCAGAGGCCAAGTATAGAAGACGGGGGGGGGGGGGGGGGGGGGGGGGGGCGGGGTGCTCTGCTAAATGAAACCCTTCAGGACCATGCAGGCAGTCAGCCACCCACCCCAGCCAACGCCACCACCCCTGTCATTGGAGAAAGGGAGGCCAGATGGGAGCCTCACTCCGCCCTTCTCCCATCCCCCACCCTCCTCTGCCTTGCACACAACATATAGCATCGAGCACTTGGCCCCAGAGGTGTGCTGCCTGAGGTAAGGTGAACACAGGCCTGGGAGTGAGGAGGCACCAGGAGGGTGGAGAACAGGATTTCTCCTGATGTGGGAGGGTACGGGAGGTACCTCCAGTGCTGGACAGAAAAACAGAAACAGGGAGAGAGCGAGAGACAGGAAGGCAGAAGACGAACAAATGGATAGTGAGGACCAGAGGAATATAAACACAGATGCACAGACGGGCAGGCTAGTCAGCCCTGCTCCGGAACCTCCAGAACATGGACAGGGGCCCTCGACAGGAAAGGATGCAGTAGGCAGTCACTCCAAAACACTGAGAGCCACTGTCCTTGTTTTCCTTCTGGTCCAGGCAGACATAGGGAGGAGGCTGAAACAGCAACAGAAGAATGATATGGGTGGTGGCCTTGGCTGGAGGAGGGTCTGTGCACTGCTCCACATGCCAATGAGGCACAAGAGGCCACATGCAAATGAACATGGCGGCCTTTCAATCAAAGACCAGGCCATTGCTTCTTTGAGAAGTCAGGCCACAGGAAAGCTGGGCACTTATGTCTGTAGCTTCATCCCTCTGGAAGGGGAAAGGTGAAGGAGGGACCTCCCCAGCCCTGAAGGGCAGGCGAGACCGAAGCCTTCGGAGAAAGGAGCCCGGTGTCACTTGGCTGAGTTTGAATTCGGGCAGCCGCTCAGGCTGGGTGGGCCTCCCCGAGTCTGCCAGTCTGGTATATCGAGATAAGCCTGGGGGCAGATGGCCTGGGCCGTTCTTGACAAGTAAAGACCCCCAGGGATCCCTGGCTCCTGCCTTTCTGAACATGGTTGGTTTTATCAGCTTGGCTGAGTTCGGTATTAAGGCATCGTTCCTGTCAAAGGCCTGCTATGTACCTGACTGAATGCCACCCACTATGGGAGGCAGGAAGAACAGTCATACATAGACCTGAACTCTAGGAGTCAGACACATGCTGGGGGAAGGGAGCCTTTCACATGGAAGGGGTTATCAACACTGGACAGTATCCTCTGTGTGCCAAATGGGTGGTGTGGAAAAGACAAGTCCCCAGAGGCCAGAGGAAGGGCAAGGCAGTGTGAGCTCACAGGAGCTGACGGGAGTTGGCCCAAGGTGGGGAGAATGGCCTCTATGACTAGATTTCCTATGAGGGGCCCTGGCCAGGAAATAGCATCAGGTAGGAGGTGGAGACAGGCAAGCAGACACAGGGAGAGGACTGAGGGGGAGGCCCACCACCAGCGTGTCATCTGCCGTCCTAGATCTGGTCTCTGTGAGGAGAATGCAGCCTCAAGGAACCATCTTTATGGCTCTTCCCCACCTGGGGCCCATCCTGGTCTGGCTGCTCACCCATCGAAGGTCTGGTTGGTACGACAGCCCGAAGAAGCCGCCCTGGTGCCCGCCTCATAAGGTCTTGATGACAGGGTGGATAACCATCTACTTTGTGATGGGGTGAGCACCCACTTCTCATATCGTGGGCCCTGGACCCAAACTACTCCTGTCTTCTGGCCTCCAAAGGGATAGCACGCCATCTTGCCGCTTAAGTGGGGCGGGGGGAGGGGACCCCTCTGTGCCTGCCTAGGATTCCAGCCAACCTTCTTCTTCCCCCTCTCCGAGTTTCCCCATTGCCTCCCCCACCTCACGATGCCCCGGGCTCCTCCCACCACCTCCCTGCTGGCCCTCAAGCGATGCCAAGATACTCTTGCCCCCATCGCAGCCCACGGGGTTTCCTTTTGGTAACCAAGAGCCTTTATGCCCAAGGGCTCCCTTCATTTGCCATAGAACACCCTCCCTCTGAGCATCCTGCCACCATCTCTCCGCAGCTATGCCTCCTACCTGGTGTGGAAGGACCTGGGAGGGGGCTTCGGGCGGCCCCTGGCCCTGCCTCTAGGCCTCTACGCTGTGCAGCTTGCCATCAGCTGGGCTGTCCTGATTCTCTTTTTCGTAGCCCACACCCATGGTCTGGTAAGGCACATGGTGTGCATCAGTGGAAGTGGTGTAGGAGCAGGGGAGACCACCAGGCCCCAGAGCAGATAACACAGACCAGTGCAGGGCAGGCCGGGAGTGGGCGGGCACACTTCTCTGGGCTCCGGCTGAGCGTCCAGACCTCCGGAGCTTGGCTCACTGGGCCCAGGGTGCAGAAAGGTTGGGGGCTCAGCTCTCAGGGCTGCCTGCCTGACTGCCCTGCCTCTACTGCCACCCCATTCCAGGCCCTGCTGCACCTGCTGCTGCTCTACGGGCTGGTGGTGAGCACAGCGCTCATCTGGCATCCCATCAACAAGCTGGCTGCCGTGCTCCTGCTGCCTTACCTGGCCTGGCTCACCGTGACCGCTTCCATCGCCTACCGCCTGTGGAGGGACAGCCTCTGTCCAGGCCAGCAGCCTCAACCCATGGGGGCGAAGAGCGACTGAGGCCCCAGGGACAGGAGAGGAGGGAGGAGGGCCAGGGTAGGAGCGGAGAGAATGGCAAGTAGGGCTGTTGGGCTATTCTGGAGAGAGGGGAGGTGGGGGGCCAGGGAGTGATGAATCCCTGACGACCACTCGGCCCGCTGTGGTCACCGTCCTGAGTCCCCTGGTGCCCGTTTCCATTTGATTTCAGAAATGGGGAAAAAAGGGAGGAAACTTATTTTACACTTAATATGAATGAACTAATCCTGTACTAAGAAATTATTTAGAGATGTCAATTAATAAAATCCTTTACTAACTTTGAGGGTATGATGTGAAGTGGATATCCGGGTACATGATGTCAAGGGTTGCAGAGCAGGGGTGGCAGCATCTGCGCCTTTGTGGGAGCGCATGCCCGGAATGAACGCGGGAGCGCATGCCCGGAATGAACGCGGGAGCGCGAGCACAGGGAGGGCAAGGGGGCCATCCAGTCTCCACGCCACTCACACGCCCTCCTGCATCGAGCAAAGACGTTTAGGACTTAGATTTTCAGTTGCCTGGAACACAAAATCTTTGTGATAAGTTCTATAATAGCAAAACAGAAAAGTCACTAAAGTAGAAAAAAGGAAACTAGTGATACATGCCCGGTTTATATATTACATGAATAGTTTAATTTTATTTCAGTGTATTTTTTTTAAGGTTTATTTATTTTTGAGAGAGAGAGAGAGTGGGGGAGGGACAGAGAGGGAGACACAGAATCTGAAGCAGGTTCCAGGCTCTGAGCTGTCAGCACAGAGGCCAGCGTGGGGCTCGAACTCACAAACCGCCAGATCATGACTTGGGCTGAAGTCGGACGCTTTACCAACTGCGCCATCGAAGCGCCCCTATTTCATTGTATTTTAATAAATATATATTAATAACAATATCATAATATGTATAACATATATCATATTCTATTATGATTATATTATATAATATATATATGTCATATTAAGATCTTGTGTGATTATCTTTGTTCAGGTGGATTATAAGTCATTTTTCATTTTTGTTTTCATATGCTTTTTTACTATTAATTTTCAAAATCAACAACTATTGTAATAAGAGAAAACATTAAGAAAAAGATGAATGCCTCAGTGCTGATGAGTGATTTCAGCAGGGACTTCTTGTCCAGACTTCTGTCTTTCCACATCTTCTCATTGGCTTCTTTATTTTCGTCTATTCCTTTTTTTATTTTTCGTCTCTCCCCTCCTATTGTTTTCTTCTCCTTTTGTTTCTTTTTTTTAATTGATGAAGACCTGTGACCTTTTTTTTTTTTTAATGTTTATTTATTTATTTTCAGAGAAAGAGTGAGCAGGGGAGGGGCAGAGAGAGAGGGAGACAGAGAATCCCAAAGCAGGCTCCGCACCGTCAGAACGGAGCCCAGTGTGGGGCTCGAACTCAAGCACCATGAGATCATGACCTGAGCTGAAATCAAGAGTCAGGCACTTAACCAACTGAGCCACCCAGGTTCCCTTTCTCCTCTTATTTCAAGGCCCTCTTGGCAGCAAAGAGTGACTGTCCTTGGGGTTACTCCCCAAATTCCAAACAAGGTCAGCTGGAAGACCTAGACGCCTTGCATAGGAGCTTTTAAAAGTATTAACCAGACTCTCTAGGGATGGACCTGGGCATCAATGTTTCTAGAACTCCCCAGGGCCTCCCCCAGCCCTCCTGAGAACCACTGCTGAGTGTATAGCAGAGCCATCTGGGAGTTTATGAAAAATGCATATTCCTTAGCCCCCCCACCCATGACCTAAGAATCAGAACTTTTGGGGTGGGCTCCAGGCATCTTGAGATTTAACAAGAGCCCAGCACTTGTGTCCACTCTCCCTAAAACGTGAGAGCGCCACCTATGGGTGGTCTCTCAGGGCTCTATCCTCTTCGACAGCCTGTGTTTCTGGGAGCTGAGTTCTGGGTGGACAACTGGCTATGACCTCTCACGTGAGGGCGAAGGACCACACAGGGGAGAAGCCAGAAGGACTTCACATTCGAGGGGAATGGCTCTTTCTGGAGCTCACCAGAGGAGAACGGGCAAGAAAGAATCTGTAGCCTCCCACCCTCCAGAAAGGGCACACTGTGCCCAACCAGGCAGGTCGGGTACCTGGGGTCCTGGAAGGCACACACAGTGTCCCACCCACCTTTGTATCCCCAGCCCCCAGGCAGCACAGGGCACTGAGCAGGGGTTCAGAGGTCTTACCGACTGGATAAATGAACACCCTGTCCCATTAAAAGACAGTGCTGACCAGTACATCACCCACACCCGCTAGGCAGCTCCAGACCTATTGAAAAAGCCTGTGTTTGGGGAAGGGAGTGGTATTAACAGTTTCTGAAACTTCTCAGGTCGTTCTAACGTTCAGCCTGAATAAAACAGCCACCAGAGTGGTTCTCAAAGTGTGGCCGGGCCAGTGACGTCCTGGCGCGGTTGTGGAAGGCCTGCTCCAGACCCACCCAAATCAGATCATCTTGGGGAACAAAGGCCATAGGGTGAGGTGGTTTGTGGTTCTGGCCGCCGAGACAGGCCAGCCTGGGCGTGGATGCTGACCTCCATTTATGAACTCATAACCCGGCACAACTTACTTCACTGTCCAGGCTTCAATTTTTCTCAGCCGTGCATGGGGCACTCATAGAACTGTCAGGAAGAAGAGAGGCGATAATGAGTAAAAAGTCATCTGACACAGAGGAAGTGCTTCATAAATGTTAGTTTTCCAGCAGGGGACCCCGGAGGCCACCTGTTTACCAAGCACACGTGGTTCTGATTCCCACCACAGTTGGAGACCCTCTTGCTCCAAGACTCTGGCAATATTTTCCAAACTTCTCAAGAGTCAGGACAGTGAGTGACCTCCTCCTCCTCCTATGGACTAGCCTGACCAGTGTCACACGCACAAAATGACTGGCTTTTTATGTCACACATTCAGGTGGATTTTGTCTTCACCTCAATCAAATTTTCTAAAGCTGCTTTTAGTTGAATGTATAACTTAATTTATACGTGGAACTGTTTTAAACATAGAAACATGATCTATAAATACCGATTACCAACACCGCCTGGGTTCGCATCCCCACTCTGTTATCGTCATGGGACCTCAGATGAGTGAACACCCCAGAATTATTTCTCATTGTCATCATCTCATACAGACAGCATAGATACCGGCTACTAATTTTGTGCTGCCAGCTACTTCTAAAAGTTTAACTGATCCTCCAAGAAGAGAACAGTCCATCCAAGCCTACTGCATGGCTTCACCCTCCCCAGTGCAAGTCAATCCACAAACCCAGGCATCCAGATACCTCTAGTTTGGGACACTCTGCCCTAGAAGAAAGCAGATTTGGGTGGCGTCCCAAACCCTGGAATAACAAGACTGCTTGATAGGATGAGCCAATCTCAGGGGCTTCCTGGCTTTGAGCAGAAACAACCAGAAAGGGCAGCACTCCAACATCTAACTCTCATCCTCTGTCTTTGAAGTCACCCTTAAAATTCCCTCCTGCACTGCTCCTTGGCTCCTGGGTGGGAGCCTTTAATCTCTCACTCTCCCAATCTGTCTGCACTCCTCGACCTCACCCTGCCCCACCTCCCAGTTCTGAGCACACACTGCCCTTGGCTCCTCCTAGATCACCAGAGTCCCCTAGACTTGTGCCTGAACAGGGTCAGAGCCGCCTCCTGTCTTTGCTAGGTGTGTCCTGGGAGCCCACTATCCCAGGCATCCATGTGTACTTCTCTTGTCTCTGAGTGATGTTTTTCCATTTGCCTCTGCAAATGCACACAGCATGTGAGTATGAGCCATTGGGTGGGGGGCAGGGGTGGGAGGGGGAGATGACCTCCTCCAGGGCTGTGCAGAGCCGCCCTTCCCCCGAGTACCTGGAGAGGTGGGGAGCTGCACCAGGTGAAACAGCAACCCCAGGAGGAGGTACGTCTCTTTCTATTGTATCTCCACCCCTCCTTCGCTCCCCAGAACCCCGTGTTCTTCCTCCCTTTTCCAAGTCTACAGAATGGAAACACCCAGGGGCAAGGTGAGGTGGGTAGACCAACAGGTGTATGGTATGTCCAGTGGACAAAGTTTGGTCAGCCGGGCTTAGAGGGGGCGGAGTGCAGGAAGCGTTTGCTCTGTGCGTCTCTGGCCCCTCCTAACTATGGCAGGTAGAGGTGATGTCCTGGTGACAGCATTAGTCCCCCTGAGTGTCGTCAGGCCTGGGCCAGGGCTCCAAAGTCTTCCTTTGTGGTGACCACATCCACCCTATCTCCTGGAATTCCCTTGCACCCCAAGCCGAGCTGCAGAGTCCTCTTTCTTGTAGTGCTGGAAAACAAGCACAAGACCCTTGCTGTTTTAAATACTTATTATTGATTCTCTTTTGGAGCACATGCAAGTTATATCCAAACAGTGCCTGGCTTTGGTCAGGAACCCCTCAGATCAGGACCTCCTTCTCTTCTCCTCAGGTGGGGTCCCCCAAAGCCCACTCTTCTAGGGTGCCAGCCGGGAGAAGCCCTCTTTGTCACACCAGGCTCCTTATTCCTCCCTCTGCTGTCTTTATCTCCAAGATCTCCCAGCACACCCAGAAATTATCTGTGCACAGGAGCACCAAGAAATCCCCTGTCCCTTTCACCTGCACCTGCTCCACACAGTGTGCATTCGAAGCGCTGAAAGTCCCCTCTCAAACGCTAATTAAGGTTATCGCTTTCCCCTCCCTGGTAGGTTCTTTGGCCCTGCAAACACCCCTTCAAAGAGGAACACTATTAGTCACTTAATGAGCATGATTCTTATCAGATCACTTTCCTCAAAGACTCAAAGCGCCAGCCGGGGGAGCCGTGTGGTGCCGGGAGTGGCTGCTTGAACGGAGGACCACGGTGACCAGGACTAAAGTCCCCAGGAGCGTGTTCTGCAAGGCAAGCCAAGCATTGCATCCTGCACAGGAAGATACTGAAACCCCTGCCCTGCCCTGTGATTCTAGTGCCTTCTCTGATCTCAGCCTTAGACCTCTGGGAGACCCTTGGTCCCCTCCCCCCACCTGGCCAAAGCTATGAACACCCCGTGTTTATGTCAACAGAGCGGTTGCCAGAGGGTGCAGGCTTCTGCCCGCCAGTGGGGTGTCTGGTGCCCACAGCCCGTTGTTTGTGTACCTCGTCTCAGTAGTGACCGAGAGACAGGCGCGCCTGGGCTGGGTCTCTGGGGCAACGCGCTGTTGGGGTCCCAGCTGTCCCTGCACATAAAGCACCCACTCCATCAACGCGCTCCCGAGGTGTCTTCTTTCACAAAGTGAGAATTTAAACCTTCCCCTGGTGAGGTTTCTATTTTCCACCAGCCCCCTCCTGGCCTCTACTCCCTTCCCAGGGAGGGCAGCTCGGCAGCAGGCTGAGACCCAAGGAAAAGCCGTGCCTGGCCCTGTCCCCTACTCCTCAGCCACCTCCAGAAACCCTGAATTTTTTTCTGAAATGACCCTGGGGAAAGGGTCAGGGAGAGGTGGCCTGCACTCACCTGGGACCGAATCCGGCTCCTTCCAGTCACTGCCACCTGGAGTGGGGGCACTGCAGGGACAGATCGGGAGAATTCCTGTTTTGGTTTCCATCCCCACTCACCAGCTGCGTTGTCTTTACAGCTATACCTCCTACATACACACACACACACACACCACATAGACACACACGTGAGTGTACACCCCTCCTACACCAACCACTCCCAGAGCCCAATCTCCCTAAAAAACACCTGTTCCCCCCCTAGTTCCCTTCTTGTCCCTCCTTCCTCACAGCCTGACCTCCAGGGTCCTGGCATCCATAGGGACTGAATGTTAAAGAAGCAACAGCATGACTCTGACAGCACGTAGCTCTGCTGTCACTAGTTGCGTGACCTTGGCCAAGTCACTTAAGTTCTCTGGTCTCAATTTCCTCTCCCATAAAATGAGGATAGTAGTAGTACCTACCCCAACATCCTGGTGAGGAAGAAATGAGTCAATTTACATGACCTGCTCAGACCTGTGTCAGGCCCCCAGGAAGGGCTGTGCTAGGGTGAGCTCTCACTATTACTGAATCCCAGGCAGCATAACACACTGAGAAAAGCCTAGAACTTGGAGGCTGACAGACCTGGGTTCAAATTCCAGCACCCCACACACAGCACAGGCCCCTACTGTGATCTTGAACTAGATAACCTATTTCCCAGTCTCTTCCCCTGCAGGAGGTGCAAATGGATGGAAACCTACGGAAGAGTGTTCACAGGGGGGTTGGGGAATGCCTGCCCGAAAGAGTAACCTGGCAGCTGCAGGAGACAGAGCCAAGCTGCTGGCCCTGACCCCCAGATTAGTGGCTGCATTCTGGGGCCTGCAGGGGAAACTGGTCCGACTTGGAAAGGAGAGCCAGGGACCAGCCAGGAACGAGGCCTCCAGGAGGGGCCATAAATAGCCAGAGGGAGCTCAGAGGGCCTCCAAGGATGGCCAGTAGGGGCAGGGGCTGGGATGGAGCAGTGGGAAAGGAAGCTGTCAGTTAGTTATCAGTCCAGGGGAGGGCCCAGGGCACTCTCGCAAGCTTCAAAGGAAAAACTGTATGTGGGTATGGTGGGAGCGAGGGGTGCCCTCTTCAGAAAGGGACCAGCCTGGGTCTACCCCTGCATCAGCTCCTACCATCACTCAGAGTCAGGGAATTTTCACCACACTGTTGTCTTCACCCCATGGGTCTTTGGGAGCCAGCCCTGTCCCTTCTTCTCACTTCCATCCATTTGACTGTCCTGGAAGAGAGAGCATCACTTAGCTGGCATCACAGATGGGAACACTGAGGCCCAGAGATGCTTAGTGACTTGGCCAAGATCACGTAGCGAATCAAGAGTGGGATGGGGACATGAATATGAACTTTCCTTCCTCCCTCCCCACTTCCCAATCCTGAGACACGACAACCAAAATAGGAGACCCTGTTCTCAAGGGGGAAGTCTTCCCCACAGGGGGAATAAGGCGCTGAAAAAAAAATCCCTCCTCCTCGCTTCCCTCCCCCCAGACTTTTGACCTCTTCCTTGGTTGCTCAGAGTCCCTCACCTTAGCTGTGACCTGGAAGTGGAGAGAGACACATGCAAATGCGGATTAAGACATGTATTCATCAGAGCTGGCTGGGTGCAGTCCTGGGGATAAGAAGTATGCTCAGAGGGGCACCTGGGTGGCTTAGTTGGTTAAGCATCCGACTTTCGCTTAGGTCATGATCTCACGGTTCGTGGGTTCGAGCCCCGCGTCGGGCTCTGTGCTGACTGCCAGCTCAGAGCCTGGAGCCTGTTTCAGTCTGTGACTCCCTCTCTCTCTGACCCTCCCCTGCTCACGCTGTCTCTCTCTCTCTCTCCTAGAAATAAATAAAATATTTAAAAAAAAAAAAAAAAAGTATGCTCAGAGAACCCAGACTTAAATCCCTGTGTGATCTTGTACAAAGCACTTCACCTTCCCGAAGCCAGGTCCCTACTTGCAAAACGAGGCCAATAATACCCACCCGTGCGAGACCAGAGTGAGAACACAATGAAATGATGCATGCTTGAGTGCCTGCCAAGTGCCCCCAATGCAACGGATCCGGGGTGCTCCCGGTGAGGCTGCACCTCCTGTCTCTGTGTTCTTGCTACTTCCTATAGTGCCTGGCACGCAGGAGCCCTTGATAAGTGCTGGTCGAATAAACAAAGGAAGTGAGCCCTTCACATTTAAACGGTGTGCGTCTGTGTGATGGTCATAATAGTAATAACATGCGTTTGCTTTGTACCTGCAATCACTGCCTTTTCTTTGTGGACCAGCCACTTCCACCACCACCCTGTGTTTTACATGCCTGGGAAAACACCTGAGAAAAATAATCTCTGGACAAGTGCTTTCAGTACTAAGCCTATAAGGTTGGGTGACCATAGGGTTGATTGCCGATACCAGAGCACTATGGGGAGAAAAAGGGGCATGAGTAGTAATTATGCCTGGACAACGCATAGAAATTGACCATCCAGGGAAACCACAATGCTTGGGCATCTTACAGGGCACCGTGCTGCTCAGGATTCTCTGGGGAGAGAGCCCCCAATACTCCGAACTGACCTGACTCCTATTCTCTAGGCAGACCATGGAAAGGTACCCTCCCTTTCCATCACCGCCACTCAACCCCACTTGGAGCTTGGTTCTAACCAGTTACAGTGTTCTCAGTGTCCTCACTTTCAGCCTCTAGGTGACCATGATGCCAGACTTCCGCTGCCCTGAGAATGTCCTAGAGTATTAGCAATGCCCCAGACACGAACACCTGTGGTCCCCGCTAAGCACCCATGATGTGAACCTACAAAAAGTTATCTGTCCATCTTCCAATGCTATTTCAGCTCAGAGATTTTTCTAGGGGCCCCAGGTCTCATTACTTTCAATAGGCTTAAAACTAGTCCCTCTACTTCTGTTCTTTCCTACCTTTGGTCTATTCTCAACCCAGCAGCCTGGCTGATGCTGTAAAAATATAAGTCAGACCATGTTCTCATGTGTTCAAAGACAGGGGCTACCCATCTCACTCAGAGAAAAAGTCAAGGCCCTTATAATAGTCCATAAGGTTGCACCTATCTAGCCCATATTTATCTCTCTGGCCTCATCTCCCAGGACTCTCCAGCCACCCAGGTGTCCTTGCTTGTTCCTCGAACACACAAGGAATGCACCCTCCCCAGGGCCTTTGCACCTGCTCTTCCTCTCCTTGGAACACTTTCCCCTTAGATATCCACATGATTATTCCCCCTCAAAACCTTCTGCTCTTAGTTGTCTCCTTTTCAAAGTCCTTCCCTGGCCACTCTATAAAAATATAACCTCACCCCTTGACACTTCCGTCCCCCTCACCTGCCTTTTCTCCTTAGCACTTTGCACCAGCAAATAGCCTATATGTATATAGCTTATTGATTGTCCAGCCCCCTCAAGCTCTGTGGGGGCAAGGATTTTCATTTGTTTTGTTTTGTGCCATGAACTAGCACCTGGCATATAGTAAATACTCAATAAATATTTGTTAAATGAATAAAGAACTGACCGAAAGGGAACATAGCATGGAGGTCAAATGTTTGGCCTCTGGGGAACAAAGGCCTGGGTTTGAATCCTGACTTACAACTTTCAGGCTGCATGGCCTTAGGCAAGTCCCTTTAACCAGCCCTTCCGTGAGTCCAAGTTTCCCGACGTGAAATGTGGGATGCCTCCCAAAGCTGTTGACAGCTTGAAGTCTGATTTCACACATAAACCACGAAACTCACTGCCTGTCTTCTTTCAAAACCTCTGAGCTCGTAATCAGCAGTATCGCTAACTATTGGAGACTCCCAAATCCACACACATTATGGGTTCATAACAGGTAAATAGGCATCTGTTCTCTTTAAGTAACAGCTCAGTTTCTTTCCAAATCGGCAGCTCTTATCCTACCCTTTCTCAAGATCCTCCTTTCCTGAGCCCGCGTCTCCCCTCCCCCACTGCTGAAGGGGTGGGGGCAGGGAGCAGGGGGGCGGGTCTCTGCAAGCACCCGGTTCAACACAAGCCTCCTCCTGCTTACACTTCTGACAGCATCTCCCCCAAATCTCTAGATCCCTTTCTCCACCTCCCCCCCCCCCCCCCCCCCCCCCCCCCCAGTGAAGTTGGAAAGGTTGCATGGGAAATGAAAAATGTAAGGTGCAGGCGGAGAGCATGAATACTTGTGTGAGCCGGTGGGGGAAGGGAGGGCAGGCCTCGCCATCCCCACCTGCCAGCTTCCTGTCTTTGCCTACTGATAAATAGGGGATACTAACGGCCAGAGTTTCCATTCCCCCCATCCCGGCACCCGCTGTCACTCAATTAAAAAAAGATAGAGGGCGAGCGCCTGGGGGAGGGGCAGAGGGCTCTGGTTATAAAGCCCGTGGCAAGGAGGTGAGAGCACTAAGCCTGGCCTGCCCAGTCCTCTTCCCGTCATCCCCAGGCAGATTTAGCTGCTGACAGCTGCTTGGGGCTCTGCTGCCAGGCCCTGGCCCGGGAAACTCACTGCCTCTCCCCTTTCTCAGTGACTGCGGAGCCACAACCCCTCCATGGCCCAGAAAGAAGAGGCCGCTGCGGCCGCAGCGGCCGCAGCGCCTGCTTCCCAGAATGGTGAGGATCTGGAAGATCTGGAGGACCCTGAGAAGCTGAAGGAGCTGATTGAACTGCCCCCCTTTGAGATCGTCACAGGGTGAGAGCTGGGTGTGGGCCGGGGTCCTTCTCGCTAGAAAAGCGTGGGCTGGGGCAGGCTGGGGGAATCTAGGATGGGAATAGGAGGGGTTGGGGTCACAGACCTGCAGCCACGTGGTAGGGGCTGCAGGGGACACGGCTGCAAATCTGGCTTGGTCTCTCCAGGTGACACTTTGGATCCTCTAACCAGGGGAGGGATGGCAGCTCCTTGGAGGCAAGGGCCCAGAGGATGAAACCACCGCCTGGGCCCTCCTGGTACCAGGATGCCACCTACCTCTCCAGATACAGGCTGTCTAGTCCTAAGGAGTTTGGTAAAGACAGGGATGACACATGTATATTTAAATATGGCCCCAAAGTACCTCCTCCCCTGACTTCTCTCTGGGGCTGAGAGGGCCCCTCCTCTATCCGTATAGCTCTCACTCTTTCTTTAGAGCTTCTCTCTGGAGTGGAAGAGCCTAAAACAGGAAAACAGATCCACCCTTCCCCAAGGCTGAGAGAGGCGCATTTTCTTCCTTATTGAATTGAATCTGCCCACGGGTTGTCCACGTCCATCTCCAGGGAAACAATAGTTACAGCACAGGTAACAGTCAGGGGGCCAGGAGCTTCTGGGCAGAAGAGGTATTCCACCCTCAGCCACAGCCCGGAGGGACAAGGACCCTGAGCAAAGGGTCTCTAGGCCCCAAAGAGAGACCCACATACAGGGTCCCTCTGCCTTGTCCAGATCATGCCATCTCCAGGAAAAACACCAAGTGGTCCTTTCTCCTCTTCCCTCTCTGTTTCTTTTGTAGAAGACGCTGCAAAGATCGTAGGCAAAGGAGAAGGGGATACACAGGGCCACATTTCACCCCCCCACCCCCGGCCCCAGGGCTTCCTTCATGGGAGTTTCCGGCAATGCCCACAGAGTGGGGTCCACACTAGGAGAAATTTCAGGAAAAATGGAGGCATCATGTCCTCAGTGGGACAGAGGAGCCCTAGGTGGCCATGTGGACTTGCTGTTTGAAGTTCGGCAAGTGATTTTCCAGTCCTGGCCTTAGTTTTCTCGTTTGTAACATGAGGAAGTTACCCTAAGTTGATCCCCAAGGTCCCTTCCAGCTCAGAGATTTTCTGATTTCTAAGAGAACCTGAGGGAAACATGCATCCTAGCTCCTGAGAGAATAATTCAGGCAAGAGTCGAGAACCTGTGCTCACCCATGCTCAACTGACCAATGTCACCCTCCCCCTAGGATTAAAGGAACAGTGGAGCACAGACTAATAAAGACCTAGGGAGGGCCTAGGGCTACCAGGCCAGGAGGCCGCAATCCCAGTGGCTCCCTATGGAAGAGATCCACTTTCTAACCCCTAAGAGCGCTGGTCCCTGCTGCCCTGGGTCACACACAGGCACGTGCGCACCCACTCTGTGCAGTGCTGTGGTCTCCCTAGCACAGAGGCAGGAAAGGTCCAGAACAGAACTGGCCTATGTCTGCTTGGGGTCCCAGGGCAGTTGGTCCTAAGGGTTAAATCCTCTGACGCAATTTACATCTGTCCAGGGCTTTATAATCACTGTATACTTCCATGTGCTTGAGCTCATTCAACTCTCAGCACAGGGCTGGGAGAGGGGGTTATATTATTGCCACTCTACAGATAGGAAAACTGAGTCAGGGAGATCGAGTGATTTGTTCGAGACCACAGAACCAGCAGGTAGCAGGACTTCTTCTGACTCCAGCCAAGTGTTTTTTCCAAGGTCTCTTACTCATTCTGGGTCCCAGATTTCCCAAACAGGGCTCCACCTACCTCCATCTGTGAGGTCTTGGGACTCAGAGCCTTCTCTGACCCAAAGCTCAGAAAGAGAGGTGCAGCAAGGCAGTTTTCTGGGTGCTCTGAGAGCAGTTCAGGAGGGAGGTAGAGCCCTGAGAGTTTCCTGGCCACAAGTAACAGCTGTGGAGATCTGTCTCCTGGGCCCTTCTGGGTAAACAGATGGCTTAAAATAGCTCAGAGGTGTGGCTGTGTGTGCAGGGACATGATGAGGGAAGAGCTTTCCCCACCTTTCCTCTCCAGATACTGTGGCATCAAGGAGGTCAGCAAAAGCAGCTCCTCTCCTACCCGAGACTCCCAGAGGGGATGGGTCTGTCTACACGGCTCCTTAGATTTGGGCCCCAAACTAGTAGAAGAGGGAGCAGCTTTTCAGGAAACAGAGGCGAGGAAGGTGTACCAGGTAGGAATAAGGAGGTATGCCCCCACTTGTCAACGATTCTGGCTTGAATAGGGCACTCAAGATAGAAAGCAGACCTAAAAACATTAACAAAATAACACGGCAGAAAGTACTAGAAAAAGGTCAAAAACTGTCGTGGTGTGCCAGGGCCAACTCATGATAAGAACGGACTGTATGCATCTCTCTCCAATTCTGCACTCAGTGACTTCATGTTGGTTTCTTGAAACCTCCGTATTGGGAGTGTTTACAGAAATCAGCAAATGTTAAAAATCAGGACTTCCTTTCTTTCTCTCTTCCTTCCTTTTCTTTCTCTCTTCCTCCCTTTTTTTCTCCCTTCCTTTCTTCCTTTTTTCTTTCCTTCCTTCGCTTTCTTTCCTTCCTTCCTTCTTTCCTTCTTTCTTTTCTTTCCTTCCTTCCTTCTTTCCTTCTTTCTTTCTTTCCTCTCTTTCCTTCTTTCTTTCTCTCAAAGAACTGTGTGTTGAACCTGCACACCAAGAAAAGAGAGAACCCTCTAAACACAAGAGGAAGAGTAGAGAGGGCTCAGGTTTGGTTATGCTTAGGATTGAGCTCTGAGGGGTAGATTTGAGGCCCAGAGAAGGCACCATTCCTCAGTACCAGGTTTAATTTCTTGAGTGTTGACCATTGTCCAGACTCTATGAGGATGGACCACTCGACCCATCTTTCAGATCAGAAAACCAAGCCTCAAAGGGATGAGTAATTTACCCAGTTAACGGATGGAGCTCGGCGTAACCCCCAGGGCTGTCTGACTCCAAACTGCCACACCGCATCTAAAAAAGCCATAAATAGGAGGCTTTTTATATTCAACAAATATTTACCTAATAGGAATCATTTATTTACTGCCCATTCCCCCACTGGTATTTAATTCCCATGAGGCCAAGGACTTTGCCTTTTAACTTCTTTATCCGTAGCACCAAAAATAGTGCCAACCTCCTCATAGACACTTAATAGGTATTTGTTAAGTAAATAACTGGACTAATGAACAAGCACCTATTGTATGTTAGGCTCTCTGCCAGGTGTCGGGATAAGGAACTAATTGTGGGGACAGCTTCTGGAAGGAGAGCAGTTCAGGATACGTGAAGATCCAGCAGCGCTCTGTGTAGGGGAGAATTCCACGGGTTGGTGCCTGCCTCTGAAGTCAGCATGCTTGAGGGAAGCTCTGGGGCATCAGAATTAGTTGTCTCCTCATCTCTCCATCCCAGCGATGAGCCACTGTGGCTCTGCCTAGCAGGCCTCCTGGCTGTGTGGTTGTCTTTGTTGGTCTCTAGTTGTGTTGTGTACGGTTTTGCATAAAGCTGAACCTGCTATCAAAGGGATTAGCACGGAACAGAGACAAAGGGCACCGGCAGTGACTCTCCTTTCAACCACTTCTTTAGCTACCAGTGGTTGGCTCTGGCCACGCAGGGAACACAGAGAGGACAGGCAGGGTTCAGAGGAGAAGGGATGGCAAGCCTTCGATTCCGCTGTGGATGCCACAAACCCCTCACGCCTCGCCCCGGTTTCCAGGGCATGTTGGGAAGGTTTGTTGCAGAAAGAATAGGAGACAGCCACTGATTCTGGCCTCCCTGGTTTCCACCGAGGCTGGGGGAAGGTCAAAGCTCCAGCGTGAAGACAGTGCCTCCCAGGAAAAAGGCAGGGAGCTGCTCAGGGCTTGCCAAGGGCAGAATCCCATCCAAAATTGCAAATCAGGAGCCAGCCGCCCAGCAAACCCGGTCTGGGCTCTAGGAAGTCAGGCTGTTAGAGCTCTCTGCTTCTCGTCTCCTTCTGACCGTGCCCACTCCTCAGCATCCACTTTGAAAGTGGTCTGGAATAGGGAGAAGAAAACCCAAACCAGCAACTCTTGCCTCTCTTGAGCAGGGCATGAAAGGTCTGGCGAGGGAAGCTGAGACAAGTCATCACTCAATGACCTGTGAGTAGATTTTCCACTCCATGGATTATTTTGGAGCAAATGTTTAATCTGAGACCAGCCTCTGCTGCCTTCCGGGTTGCTTTCTTTCACCATATAGATTTCCGCTTAGGAAACGCAAATATTTTTAAATGTGAACGTGAGAAACATACGTTATAGAGATATTACATTTGATCACATCCCTGCTCCCTCCATCAAGCTGACCATGCTCCAAATGTTCTTTCCCAGATATTAGGATTCTTGGTTTCCTGCCTAGAGAACTGCAATGCCCAGTAGCCTGGGTCTCTGCAGAGGAAGTGTGACTGACCTGTCTGCAGAAAGTATGAGGATGTGGTGCTTGAAGAAGGGAGAAAGAGGGAAGGAATAACACTCTTGGTTTCTGTGCCTCAAGCAGTGACTGAGCCCAGGTGAAGAAATCTGCTACCCACATGCTTCTCCTGACCACCACGCCAACAGACCCGTGCACAAATCCCGCCCCTCCAACTTCAGCAGGAAAACACCTGCTGGGGGCGACAGCAAGGGCTATAAGGAAATGTAGAACTCAGGCATCATGCTACTAGGAAAAAAAGATGTTTGTGATTACCTTAGAAATTAGTGTCACTAGTTCCTTCCTTCCACGAGCAGGCATAACAGTGTTGACTTATTTTGTGATTCTATAAAATCACTCGAGATGGCCATATTGTCTAGCTCCCTGGAGAGACTTCAGACCTCTTCCACCTCTGTTCCCCTCCAGGGCCTGGCTGTTTCAGCCTGTGGGAAGCCCAAAGAACCTCATTTGCCCCTTATGCTCCTTCTGGAAAACCAAGAAGCCCATTGAGAAGCCAAGCAAGCCCAGTTTTTGAACAAGCTGAAAGGAAAGACTGGGACCCAAGATCTTCCTTGACCTTCCCCCCCACCCTTTTTTTTAATGTTTGTTTATTTTTGAGAGAGAGAGAGAGAGAGAGAGATAGAGCGCACAGGGGAGGGGCAGAGACAGAGAGGGAGACACAGAATCCAAAGCAGGCTCCAGGCTCTGAGCCATCAGCACAGAGCCCAACACGGGGCTCGAACCCACGAACCGTGTAATCATGACCTGAGCTGAAGTCAGAAGCTTAACCTACTGAGCCACCCAGAGCTCCCCGCGCTCCCCCTTGCTTTTATATTAATGTTGACTTTCCTTGGCCCCTTGAAAGCATTTCCCTTCCTTAAGCACCTAGTCCAGAAGGCCCTGTTGAAACACAGAGTAGACTATTGGGCTGCTGGCAAGAGGGGTGGGAAACTGATATTTATAGAGAGGTGAACTTTCTTCCTCTCCCTTGGGTTTCAGGTTTCTCTGGGTCTTCTCCTCCTGCAAAGGGAAGAGGAGGAGGGGAAAGCATCAGGGCTTAAGAGAGGCTAAGAGAAGGAGCAGCCTCAGACTAGCTAGCCAACTTATAGCTGCATGCTGGGCCAAATTCATACTCTCGCTGGGCTATATTTGGTGAACTTGGAGCAATATTTCTCGGGGCTCCAGAAGGAAACCCGAGGGGCCATGCAGGCAGCTATGGGTGAAGCCCCCAACCAGCCACACAGTTGAGAATACTTCCAAGGGTTTTGCCCGAGAATCCACCATACGGGTGGCTCTGGATGAGATCTGAGGGTGGAGGGGGGTGTCTGGCAAATGGCCTTGAAGAGCATCAAGTGTTTGGACAAGAAAGGTACTTCCTGTGCTGCTCAGGAGGGGAAAAAAAGCCACTCTGGAAAGTGAAGGGACCATTTACCAACCAGTAAAATCCAGGAGTGATCTTGAAGGGTGACTTTCATTGGGGAGAGCTCATTATAAGTGAATTTCCAACAGGGATGGAAACAGGAGAGGGGGACCATCAGGCCATCCATTCTCCCGAAATGTTAAGTAAATAATAAACACATTCAACTAGGGACACAGGGGTTTAGAGAGCTAAGTATAGTACCCGAAGGAATCCTGGGACCAGGTCCTCAAACACATCCATCTCCACAGTGGAAACTGAACTTGACAGCAAGAGATATGGAAACTTGGGTGGATCAACTTTTGCCATGGGGGCGGGAATACGACAGGGAAACAGCTCGTGTTTACTCAGCTCTTTGGCACCTGGCTGCTTAAGAAGACAAGGCCCTGGGACATCCGGGATTTCCCTGTAGCCCTGGGAGTTAGAAAGGGAAGGCTTGTAGGGCAGTATCAGCGGAGTTCATGGTTGCCACAGGGTATCTTCTGGGGCAACTGCAGAGATTAGTTTTGTTGTTGTTTTTTAAAGAAAACATTCAGCCTCTCCAAGCTGGTACTCAATCCCCTCCTCTCCTGAGTTTCCATCTCTCCTGTTAAAGGCTCCTCATCTCCTTGGCCTTCAAACCTACAACAGTCTTCCCTATTCTAGAAACACACGCAGATGCACATAAAGATAAAAACAATCAACTCTGATACCCTCTCTAGCTCCTTTCCTTTTCTCTCTCCTTCTTCTAACTACAAAACTTTCCCCCAAACCCAGTCTTTTTCTGCTGGTTTCATTTCCTACTCATCCATCTCGCCCTCGAAGTCCCTAGACATAGTCATCACCAAGTCTGGCGTCCTAAGATACCAGGTGGGCTTGTTTAACTTCAAGCTTTTCCCCAGCCTCACTCTATCTGCCTAAAGCCACCACGTCATCCCCCACGGACGTCACTTTTATTCCATCTTTCTTTACTCAGGAGCCTGCAACAATTTTCTGTTGCCACCTAAATCAAGGCTAAACATTTAAAAACCTTCATGCCGTGTCCTCCATGTCCTCTCTAGGCATTTAAAATTAAAATGCTCTCTCTGTTTTAGCCAGAGTGGGGCTGCTAAATTATAAGCATCTGGAGGGCAGACGCCAAGTCTTTTTTGATTTGGAAATGACTCAATACTATATGCAAGCTAAATCTTATCAAGGTACTCTTGGCTGGTCTGACGTCAAAAATATAAACTTCTCGGACGCTTACTGTGTGCCAACTCCTCTTTCATCCGAGGGAAAAGACAGACTTGAGAAACAGTCACCAGGAGAGTGGGGCACTGTGAATGGTGGGCCAGCCTGTGCCTGAGACGCAACAGCCATGAGAGACAAGGAGGAGAAACAGAAGCAGGGAATGTTCCGCAAAATCTACCTCTTGCTCTATCATGAGAGATTTCACATGCTTGCTACTTTGTAAAACTACTATTTGAACAGGGCTTTTCCAACCTGGCCACCTATTAGAATCATCTGGAGGGTTGTTGTTGTTGTTTTTTTAATGCTGGTTCCTGGGCCCCCTCCAGACCTTCTGATTTCATTGGCTTGGCGTGCGGCCCAGGCACTGATATTTGTAGAGTCCTCTGGGTGACTGGGCTGTATCGCCCCTCCCTCCCCCCAGTGACTGATTTAGAAATGCAGGAGTGTGCCGTGTGTTGGAGGCACGGTGGGGCGTCTGGAGGCCCTCCCGACTGAGGTGACCTGAACCCTCACCTCCAAATTCTCTCCTCTGCTCCAGATACACCCTTCTGGATTCTTCCACGCCGCGCGGTCGCCGCCGCTAGCCTGGGCAAGGCCGGCTTTGACAGCGAGAGCCGACGTGTCTCTGACGCACCGAGGCTGGAGAGCCACCTGCTCCGGGCTGGTCCGGGCCGCGGGCGCTCACCCTTCTCTCTTCTCCCCTGTCCCTCTGCCCCTCGCCCCGCAGGGAGCGGCTGCCTGTCAACTTCTTCAAGTTTCAGTTCCGGAACGTGGAGTACAGCTCCGGGCGGAACAAGACCTTCCTGTGCTACGTGGTGGAGGCGCAGAGCAAGGGAGGCCAGGTGCAGGCCACCCGCGGGTACCTGGAGGACGAGCACGCCGCCGCCCACGCCGAGGAGGCCTTCTTCAACACCATCCTGCCGGCCTGCGACCCGGCCCTGCGCTACAACGTCACCTGGTACGTGTCGTCCAGCCCCTGCGCCTCCTGCGCCGACCGCATCGTGCGGACCCTCGGCAAGAGCAAGAACCTGCGCCTGCTCATCCTGGTGGGCCGCCTCTTCATGTGGGAGGAGCCCGACGTGCGCGCCGCGCTGCGCAAGCTCAAGGAGGCCGGCTGCAGGCTGCGGATCATGAAGCCCCAGGACTTCGAGTACGTCTGGCAGAATTTTGTGGAGCAGGAGGGCGAGGCCAAGGCCTTTGAGCCCTGGGAGGACATTCAGGAGAACTTCCTGTACTACGAGGAGAAGCTGGCGGACATCCTGAAGTAGGCCGCCCGGCCCGGCCTCACGTGAGTCCCGGCGCCCCTGCGAGCCCCGAACTCAGGTCCAAGCCTGGAGGGAGGGCAGGTGGCGCGAGCGCGGGAGGTTGGGCCTGGCCCGGAATGGATTTCCTTTCTCAGCTTTGGGGTGGTTGGAAACACATTTTAGAAGATCCCCGCCTTTTCCTTTTCTCTGAACTCCACGTTCCTCTCCCTAAAGCCTTTTCGCTCCTACCCTTTTGTATCAAACGAACTTTCCAACACTCAGAGGTGATAGGAATCCGCAAGCCTTGGCGAGGCTGAGTGACCTGCGTGGTCAGATAGTCCCCCACGCATGCCCCCACCGACATGAGTCCAGACTCACTAACTCTGGACCTCTTCTGGATGCCCTGTGCCCACCTCCATTTGCAGTCTCCCCATTCCGCTGTCCTGTAATGTAGGCTTTTCGTTCCTTCAGATGTCATTTTTTCATTTCAGGTACTTTTGAAAGTCCCCAGATGGATTCGTATGCCACTTATCATTATTATTTTGCCAGAGAAGCTTTCATGTTTTCAAATAAATGGTTCGGCCTTGAAGGAGGCCAATAATTTCTGGGCGAATGTGTAACGCAAGAACTTTTTTTTTTTTTTTTTACTTTGAGAAGACCTCAGAGGAACTCCTAGAAAAATGCCGTTTTCAGGAATGGGGATAACACAGCAACAAGTTCTTGTATGCAGGAATAGCAAAAGGGTTAAAAAGATGTCTGTAAATGAGACAGCAGCTCAGAAGTAGCCTCCTACAGACATCAAGATGTGATAGAACTGGAAGTAAAGATTAGCTATTTAAGCAAATAATTAGGACACAATTAAGGCCAATTTGGCCTCTTGCTGAGGGTAAATTAGACTCTCACAGAAACAGGCCAATTACCCTCAGGAAAGAGGGTAAAAGATCCTTCGTTAACTTTGTTTTGGAGTTTGGTCTGATCTAGTTTGCTCCTGCAGAAATGCTATAACCAAGTCCGTTCACAAGCCCTGAGTTACTGATCAAAATCTTCCAGGAATGAAGAAAGGGTCTTTTACCACCCTCTCCTCCCAACTTATATTCCGGAACAGTTCACCTATTAATAAAACACGAATGCAGTGCGTTTCCATGAAGCTATTCAATTTCTTCTTGGTGGCTCTCGCCCTTAATATTCTTAAGAGAAGATGTGGCTTCAAAGACACGTTTTTGGAAATATCAATGTTCTGGAGCTCAATGTTGCCAGAGGGCTACTCTTAGACATGCACACAGGGTGCCTGATAATTCTCCAGCTGAGCATTCGCCAGTCCAAGAGGACGTGATTTTTGTCCGTTTCTTACAAAAAGCAAGGTCCATTCATTGAATTCAGGGAGAATATGGTCAGGTAATGCCACGCGGTACTCTGCTTACATAAAATAAAGACACCGCGCTAGTGGTGGTGAGGAGTGATAAAAACAGATTTCCAAGGGTTGACTTCTGACAATACCAAACTGACTTTTAAATTCCTGAAGACTATATTAGTGTAGGTGCTATCACTGTGATTATAAACCCTTCGCTGACTCCAGAGTGATGATGACTGGTAGCTTAATTTTAACTAGAGTATACTTTCTTCTTAGATCCCTCTCCGAGTAACAGGCCACCTCTCCCAGCTGCCTAACCAGCTGAGTCTTCAGAGGTGTGTGTGTGTGTATGTGTGTGTGCGTTGTTTTTCCATTAAGTCAAATAATTAGATAGCTAAATCTGCTATAAAAATTAAGCATTTCAAGTCAGATTAAAAGGAGCTTTTAATTTTGGATAATTGAGGGTTGTATCTAATGCTAATCTAAACGAAGTTAAATAGATAAATCAGTTTGAGGGGAAAGTCCATTTCCAAGTCAAATTATTTTTAAATAAAATATTATTGGACATGTTCCACATTATAAACCTCTTTCCATTAGTGTACATAACCGTATTATCTGGACCCATTAACATGCTTCCCTGTACTCTATTTGAGTTATTCGTGTTCCTGAAGAGAAAGGTTAAAATGTACCGAGTTTAAAAAAAAACTGGCATAAAATCGAGTTGTAATCTAAAAGCCCTAAAGAATAATTCTCCTTAATTAAAATACTAAGAAATGGGAATTTGCTAAAGAAAATTTGCCTTACATTTCTTATTCCATCTTTTAAAAAAAAAAAAAAATGACTGAATAGGATTTAACCATATATCTAACATAAGAGAAATGAATTAAAGTAGGGATCTTCTGGGGTTTTCCTGTGTGAAGCACCCAAAAGCATGAGTGCAGCAAACCTAACGCTGGGAACAATGGAAATCACAGGAGACTCCAGGGGAGAAATTCAGAGATTGCTGGAGAGGGCACACAGAGACCTCAACTCAAAAGAAACTCTTCATTGGGGTCAGCAGAACTCTCAGTAACATGCTTTCTTGTTTTTTCACTAAGGTCTGCCTGCTGCCACCAGAAGACAGCAGTGACATGTATGGCCATCTGGGACATGTCTGACTTCCTGATACCACTTGAGCTGGACAACACTGGACACCAACCAATCCTACTGCACAGGCCCTCCAAGGACTCTAAGTATACTGTTCATGCTGTAAATCATTTAAGCCATGGCTCTCTCTAAGGGTGCTCTTGGGAAAGAGGAAAAGTGAGTTGCAAGGAAAGAAATGACAACCATATACGGGCACCAGGCATCTGTCGGTCTGAAGGGCCTCATTATTCCCCACATGGGCTGCTTAAGGTAAAGAGCCTCAGACCTAATGTTTAAACCTAACGTCTGTGCAGATCTTTGAAATATGTCTGGATATGCATTTAAGATGGTGGTTTTTTTTTTTTTTTTTAAGAAAAAAAAAGATAGCAACATTAATAAAAGAAGTGGTGTGGTCTTTCTGTGACCAGGTTTTTTAAGGAACTTGGACATTCAGAGGTTACTATGCACAGTGAACCAATCCTAGGAATAGGGATGTTCCCAGGCTCTGAGCCAAGCCATGATATTAGAAAGTGGAAGGGAGGCTTAATCCAGGGCTCATCCAGGCAACACAGGATACTGACTCTCCTAGACGGACTTCCCACCCCAATCTTGACCTTTATCAATTATTTTCTTCTGTGATTACTTGTAAATGAGTGCCTTTTCTCTTCTCTGAAGACAAGGGATATGGCAGAGGGTGAAACAAAAGGCAGGGGAAATATATTTATAAGATATCCATGTTCTGTTTGCCAATTAATAAGTAATTAGTATCTTAAGGAGAAGATAAGTAGGATTTCAATTCGGATACACATACTGTAGGAGTAGTTGGTATGTGGTACTCGATGGTGTTGTCTCATTTCTTTAAAAGCTAGTGTCTTATGGAGAAGCAAAATTTCATATGTGAATTTCTGGGTGTTTGCCAAACTCTAACTAGGTTTCCAGGAATAATGTACTCATTCTGTCAGGCCATGCCTCTTCTTTCCAAGCTTCAAGTGCGATAAGTCATCAGAATTTGACCCCAAGACTATCTGCAAATGACAAAGCACTTTATCACATCCCTGCTGAGTCCCAGAACCCCACTTACAGGCAGTCCTCCACAAGACTAGTCTTTGTTCAAAGAATCATCAAAGCTCATAATCCATGAAAAATATTAACCCCAATTCCTTTAAATGTACAAGCCTACAAAATCCATGTGTGGAGCCAAAAGGGAAGATTTGCCTAAACAAAATACTTTGATTCTAAGTTTGCTCTTACCATCCCACTCTCATTTACTCACTGTGTTATGTATTTAGATATGTCTTTTTCCCTCCTTCCGTTTTACCATATGTGGACAGAAGTGAAGCTTCAAGAAAAGCCTGTCTAATGATGAACTTGGCCTTGCACTACCCCTACCACAACATGAACTTGTGTGCCCCAGAGATACAAAAGTGAAGTACTTTTTGAAACTGCTGCCTATCAGGCTGCAGTGTGATAAGAACACATAAGTCTAAAGTACAAAGATTATATTTAACTGGTGTTTCCATAGTGTTTCAACAAGCCCCTTCGGAAACCCAGTTCTTTTACCCTTGGGTAAGCAGCAAGTCCTAGGACAGACCCAGAATTCCACTCTAGGGAGAAAATCAAGTTGGTCTGGCTATTTTAACTTTATCTTATTTATTTTGAGAGAGGGAGAGAGCCAGCACGCAACCAGGGCACAGGGGAGGGTCACAAGAGAGGGAGAGAGAATCCCATGCAGGCTCCATGGTGATGCGGGGCTTGAACCCACGAACCATGAGATCATGACCAGAGCCAAAACCAAGAGTCGGACATTCAACGGACTGAGGCCCCCTGGCGTGTCCCTTTTAATTTTTGTTATTTCAAGTAGGATCCATGCCCAACATGGGGCTTGAATGCACGACCCTGACATTAAGAGTCGCATGCTCTACTGTCTGAACCAGCCAGGTACCCTCGTTTTAATACCATACCATAGTAATGGTAAAATAGAATATTCTACTAGTTTTCCCAACACCTTTGATACTGGATCCAGGAATATATCCTTTCACTGTGACCATGGGAGTGGATAAAGTGGTGCTCTCTTAGGAAGAAAAGGGAACTAATATTTATTATTCTCCATCCCAGCTGTGGATCACAACCCTCTGCTGCTTAAAAACACAAAGGAACAGCCATCCCGCCAGCCGCCCCCAAGCTACCAAACTAGAATTTCTGGAGGAAGTGGGCCTTTTTCTTAAAAAGATTTTTAAGGATTTTGTTGAAAGCTGCTGATTTGTTGAGTCACTATTCTGCCCCGAGCAATTTAACAGGCATTTAATGTATGTTATCTCGTCTGTTTCATGACTGAATTCAAACACGTTCAGTCACAGAAGCTACGTGGTGGAAGAAGAGAGGACAAGTTCACCATGAAGGGATTCTAAACCTGCCTTTCCGGAAATACTGACCCACTGATCTGGTTTCTTCTCACCTTGCTGTTCTTCCCCCTGGACCCTTTGTCTGATTATTCCCAATTAGTTTTCGGGCGAATCTTCCATTACCCAGGTTCAGAACAACAGATGTGTGCACAGAACCTCATTGACCCCAAAAGAAAACATATTTATTCTTCCACTTCTGTCACCACAAATGTCTCGTTAACAACAGAACACTCATTTTTGTAATTTAAACAAAACAAAACCCATCACTCTCTCCAAGGATGAATGTGACATAAGGATAATACTAAGCAAACTTGTAAATGACAAAAGATGCAAAATTAACTGAAATGTTCCTTCCTGAAATTTCTCTTTAACAGCAGAGAAGTATAATCAATGCTGCCACCTAGTGGCAAGCCAAACAAGTCAGGCAGTATCCTGGAGCAAACGGGTCAGAGGCCCAACATCTGGTTTCCTTGCCTCCTATCAGGCCATCTACTCCTTACCTTCTTGCAGAAAACATCACAGCAACATTTCCCAAGCAATCCCTCCTCCAGAGTCCCAGTCCAATCATGAGAATACAGCAATCCAAGTCTCGCCTGTGTGTGACACAGACTGCTTCATGTGGTGAAACTTTCCCCTGACCAAGGACTTAAATAGGCCAGTTCGTCCAGTGCTATGGTCCAGTAGGGATGATACAGGAGAATGTGGACACATCCAAAGCGCCCATCTGTTCACAGTGTGTACACAGTAATTCTGATGTCTGTTGCTTCAAACACCTCCTCAATCATTGCAGATACGTTTTCCCATTGCAGACGATCCAGACCACATCCAATCCTGAAAAAGACAAAACGTCTCCCCTGGTTGTGATGAAGCTATCTGGGAAGTCGCTTCTTTCCACTTCCCTTAGGCTGCACCCACTGAAAGCATAAAGACAAGTGATCTGGCCTCACACCTAGGCAGCTACAGTGGGAGTCTGCAAGTTCATTCCTATTGTGAGTCACCTAAGGCTGTTCCTAGACAGCCCCAACATCCAATAGCTGTCACTTCTCTTTTGCCTAATAATGTACCACTTCTCAATTGTTTGAGGCTACATTTAGAAAATGTATAACTGCGGTGACATGGGAGACTCAACTCTCCTTCTAAATCTATAGATAAAAACTAGCTTGTATGTTTTAAATATGCTTATGATCAAGGAATTGGGGGAAGGTGAAGGAAGATAAAAAGAGGAACAAAGGACAGGATCTCTGCAAAAAGGAAATCAAAATGAAATGTTGGGAAACGCTGAGCTGATTGCAATTCAGGTCTTTGCAACACCCTGGTGAAAAACCTCAATCAGCCCATAAAACTCTGGCACCTTTCCTTCCAAGATGTTACCTTACTGATCCTCAATATCCCTACAGAAAAAAAGACTTAAAAGTGCTCATTTCATGCAGTCTGATAATTAAATCCCTGAAAAAAAACTGTGATAAAAACACCCAACAGTTTCAGATACATAAGACACGAATACATTAAAGCCCAAGGTAAGATGATAGACCTTGAAGCCACATTTTTAAGTAACATGGAGCTTGGAACAAACCTGCATGCATGGTCAGCACTGACTCAAAACTAGACTGATGGGAAGAGAAATGACCCCAAGCCTATTTCCTAAAAAGAAAGTAAAGAGGATATTGAACCCCCAATGTCATTCCCCTTAGTTCCTAATAGCTAGGGATGTTACCTAAGTGACATATCCTCTGGCTACTACCCACACTAACTACAAACAAGCATGTATATTAAAAGGCAGTGATAATTTACAACTTTTTCTGAACCAGATTAACAGGTTTGGGATACCTGAAGTGGCCCAGAAGAAAATCACAATTGCTCAGACTTGGTTCTTGAGCTTTTACTGCTTCAAGAGAGCCTCGGCCTTACGCAGATGTTCAAATTCAACAAAGGGGACTCAACAACATGTCCTCCCCACTAAGTAGGTAGTGTGTTTTAATTATCCTGATTCATTCAACACAGGCTAAGAAATGGGTAGAACATGGCCTGAGGTGTGACAACTGGTTCACCAGTGATTTTTAAAAAGTTTTTAAATTTGTCCACTTTTAAGCCTATATTCTGAGTAAAGCTTTTAAGTTCTTCGTCTTCCGGTAAGACAGCAAAGCTCTCCACTCGATTACAAGTATTCATTCGGGGCCCTGAATTTCCTTGCCTGGGCATAGAGAGGTCGGTGACTCCGTTCTTCAGACAGTGGGACTTCATGGCCTCTAAACTCTTCTGTAAGTTTTCATAAGTTGGCTTATGTGAAGCCCTTTTCTTTGTAATCTGAGTACAAAGAATGAATTTAAAATTGCCATTAGTCCAAAATAATAGTCAAAGAAAAGCCATCACATTCTCCCAACATACTGATCATTAAAATAATAAGTACATAATTGCTTAGAACAGGATGACAGATCTCATACTGTCCCTTCCAGTTACTGGAGGCCCTCAGGAAAATCCACTAAATAGGGCCCAAGAAACCCAGATAGTGCCATGTAATAACCTTTCCTTTTCCCAAGAAGCCCAGGAAATTAGTAGGCTGTGCCCTATTGTCTATTGTTTTTAAGCAAGGTAGGTCAAAGTCTTTGTGCCACTTCCAAGTGATAAGCAATTTATCTGTAACAAGGAAGAACCCATACCACCTGAAAACTTCCTGTTAAGTCTGTTTATTTAGAAACCATGGTTGTTTGCTTTTTGTTTCTCTATAAAGAACAGAGAAATGTATTGTTCCAAACAAGATTGGAAGTCACATTGACCTTAAGGACAACATCCCAAAGGCTTATGACATGTCCCCACTCAGCATGCTGTCCAAATCAGACTTGTAGTGGGCTGGTTACTCTAAGTCACTCAGCACCATCACCAAGAAGCCGTAACCCTTCCGGGACCTGAAGGCCATGTGGACAGTGAAAGAATCCCACGCTGAGGCAGAAAGCAGGAAAGGAGCTAAGTAATACTAGGCACTGCATTTGATAGGGAAGAATGAAAGAAAAACTCCTTTGGGAAATCCATCTTTTGAGATACTATGTTTCAATCTCACAGTAGAAAGAAAAGGAAAGAATTCAGGCAGGGGCGACATCCGTAATTTTCCAAATCTTAGAACACAGGTTTTTGATAGCTGTCACAGTACTCTTTCCAGCCAAGCTGGGATGCAGCCTCGTGTTCCTTTCTAACACAGTTCTCCAAATAGCCACCACCACTGGATCTGAGCTGGCATGCAATCAGAAGGTTTTTGCCATCTTTGTTTGTCTAGAATGGAACATCACGAGCAACACAAATGCAGCGGCCCACATCCAGTCCTTAGAACACAGTAAGAATTGACCCTTGTCTTACCAAATAATATATATATCGCCCATCTCTCTTCAGAACAGCCACTTCTCCAGATTTCTTTTCTATGAAAAAGTTATTTAATAGTAGAAAGGTATTTAAAAAAGACAACACCAACTTGCATTCTTCAATTTAAAATGAAATCTTTACATATGTGACTTCAGAACCAAACAATAATTTCATTTCTGAAGAAACCTATTGTCTCTGTTAACACTTTGCTCCTTATCAGCCTTACTTAACTCCCAGCTTTCTTCTCCATTTTCTCAGTCTTGTTTTTTTCTTACCCCATCTTTTGTCCTGCCCATATTTTCAAATACACCCTTACTTATTCACTTAAAACACTTTTAATAACCATTTTTTACATACAAAGAGTTACTGTGTTAAGCATTATGGAGCACAGAGATGTGTAAAAGTTCCTAATTACTGAAGAGCTTTCAATGAAGGGAAGCTGTCCCGTTTACAAAGAACTACAATAAAAAGCAGTATAAACTGTTTCAAAGGAATCAGCAGTGAAGTCTCTGACCCGATAAGCCAGGACTGTGATCCGAGCAGCTGTTGCCAAGCTCTGCAGGTGATTCTAACCCATATCTCTGGTTTAAAAACACTGGTAGAAAGTGACAGGAAGGATCTGTAATGAAGAGGTTTCTAAATTTCTCTTTGAGAAGTAAAATATGGGTAACAGGATCTTGAATGCCAAATGGACTTGGTTAAGCACTTCGGTTGATTAAAAGTTTCGGAAAAGTGAAGTAATATCAAAGAAGTTTTGTGATAGAGGAAGAGATCAGAAACTTTTAAGAACTCAAGTTTGGTGTGATAGAGAGCCAAACTGTAGGCCATTTTTGTAGAGGAAAACCTTAATCGGAAGAGTTAAAGTTGTCAGTGGTTAGGAACCCGCTCTCCAAATATATATCCTTGTCTAATAATTAAACTATAACAGAAGATCAAGATGTTCTAGCCAAGGCAGACTAGTTAATGCTGTTTTTCAAAACTCACGCTGATTTAACAGTTCCTGCACCCCTCCAAATTTCTTCTTGAAGAGGACAGCTATTCCAGCACCCATCCGACAATCCTCACTGATACAGTGGGCTAAAGAGTCTGTTTTGGGGCATGCAAAAAGGTCTCCTTTCACATAAGTGATCTAAAATGTGAAAAAGGGAAAAGTTTTATTTGATACAGAAAAACACTAAGACATTTCTTTCATTTTCCTTTTACTGTGCTCCCCACTACTGCCCCTCCTTGACTTAAAACCAAATCTGTAGGGGCACCTGGGTGGCTTAGTCGTCCTGATTTCCGCTCAGGTCATGATCTCATGATTTGACACTGAGCCCCAGTCATTCTGCAAAACAGGGTGGAGCCTGTTGGGATGCGCCCCTCGTGCTCTCTCTCAAAACAAATAAACATTAAAAAAGAAATAAAACCAAATCTGCAGAATTTAAGGAGTTAACTACATCAAACGTATAAAGGAAAGTGATCATGGTCTCTGCCTAATACTGTATCAGCCTTTCTGAAGCAAATCAGCTGGGGGGGAAGGCGGAAGACAATTCAATTATGTCTTTAATTAAAGTGTTTATGCTTTTGACCTTAATTATTCTGAATTTCAGTTCACCAATAAGTTAACAGTTGTTACGCACTCTGCTTCCTTCTGGATCTTCATTAGGGCTGCCGGCCATGATACTGAGTCGCTATTTCCAGACCTTAAGGGTTTCTTTAGCTAGGAGAAGGGAAAAGGAAAAATGCTTAGGCAGCCTGAACGCATTATATTCAAATTGCCCTGACCACCCACTTGGTAGTTTTCTTCCCCCACCATTTATCGCCGAATGGGAGTTCGTCCAGCCTCTAGGAAATAATACAAAACTCTTCTGGGGCAAGAATGAGAAAGAATGGCTAGGCCTGGAGGCGGCCAGGCCCCGCTCGCATTTCGCGCTTTCCTGGGGCGCCCCGCTCGGCCAGGGGAAGAAAAGGCGGTCCCTAAGATGCGCCTCCTCCTTTCTCCGCGCCCGCGCGAGGCAATTTAAGACTTTCTTCCCTGCAAAACCAAAAGTATCTCCCCAGTGGGTTTGGCACAGAAGATGAAGGGAGGGACTTGACCACAATCCGGTTGAGCCGCGACCGAGGAGTGTCTACACCAGGGGAGTGTACTGCCGAACCGCAGGCGGGGGAGAGGGAAGGCGGCCTCTCAAGGAAGGCTCACCCCCATCTGCCCTTGGTGGGGGGGGACCGAGAAGGAGTCGAGAGAGACCTCTCGTTCTGTCTCCCACCCTAAGGCAGGTCAACGAGGGCGTAGGGCCTGTTATAAGGTCCCGTGGGAAGTAGCGGTAAAGCTCGCTCAAAGCCACAACGTACCGGAGTTACCCTTCACCTGGAAAGGAGTCGGCCGTTGCGAGGTCCCGCCCCTCGGGGAAGGGCTCCGGATCCAGCCCTGGTAGGTGGGAAGCGGCGGACGAACTCAGACGCAGAACCAATCCCGCCACAGCCCTTAATTGCACGCACCTAAAATGGCCGCCCACCACCCGGGAGCGGGGCGGAAACAAGCCGCTCTAGCAAGCTAGCCGAACTCGCACTCTTTGGTAATGTCCGCCGAACTTCCGGCGGTAAAATCCGTGGAATGTCCCGCCGCCGCCCGGGCATGCGTAACGAGACAGCCCACCGCGAGTGGGGAAGAACGGCGCTTGCGCCTTAGCCCCAGGGGTGTGTCTCCAGCCTCCGCAGAGAAGGGGGTGGGCAGTTAGCAAAGAAGAGAGTTAGCGCCTGCGTCGTACTATGTTTAGGGCGGTGTTTGAGTTCAAGGATCTGGCGCGTCCAGAAGGCGCCTGCGTATTTCTTCTGCTGGAGATGGTGTCGAATCAGGGAAGTGGGCGTGGCTTCAGGGAACGCCTGCGCGGTGCTCCCTCAACTGGGGGTGGGGCGAGCCAGATGCTGGGGTTAGGGGGCGTGGTCTCAGAGGCGCCTGCGCGGAGGCGGTTGGAGGGAGGCCCGATTCCCCTTTGTTCGAGTTCGCCATTTTGCGAGGCAGCGGCAGTGGCGGCGGCAGCGGCGGCTGGAGCCTCTGATTGGGTTTCGGGGTCCGGTACTGGAGCCAATCAGCGCGGGCAGCGAACCGGGGGAGCGAGGCACGGTGAGTGTGAGGAGCCAATATCCAGCGGCCCAGAGCCGGCCCCAGCGCCCCGATTGGCGGGTCTCGCTGACCACTCAGGAGAGGCCCAGGCGCCCGTCGAGCCCCGGGAGTCTAGCTGAGCCTAGCCGAGCGGGGCGGCCGGCGGCCCCGGCCGAGGGCTTCTGAGTGCCCCGGGCCACTCCCGGCAGAGGCCTGCAGGGGGCCGCCCCGCGCGGGGATGGCGCCCTCGGGAGCGAGCACCTCGGGGTCCAGACCCTTGCTGGGTGTCTGTGCCAGTTGGGGATGCCTCCACATTCTCACAACGCTTAGGCCCAATTTGTCAGGTCCCAGGCTCGGAGTCGGTGGGCCTGCCTGCCACGAACGCCCTTACACTCAGGTGCACACACGCGCGGGGCCTTGGCAAGCTCCTCCAGATGGTTCGGGCTTCATACTGAAGCCCTCCCTTGCACTCTCCATGCTCCGGCCCTCGGGACGGGGAGTCTCCCGCCAGGGCCCGCGATCCCAGCTCTCCGAGAGCCGGGTCTGCCTGTCTGCAGCCCACCTGGGCCGCGACTGAGGCCTGTGGAGTTACGCGCCGCAGCCACGGGGCCCGGAGAGCAGCGGGGAGAGGGAGCCGGCCCGCCCCCGCCTCGGCGCCCTGCGAGCCCGCCCCCGCCGTCTCCCGGGCCCGGGGAGGGGGGCCGTTAGTGCGCCCACCCTCCTGCCCCGACGCGCCCCTCCTCTGCACGCTCGGCCTGGGTCTCCGGCCTGGCGCCGTTACCACCCCCTTTTGGCTCGTCATTTCCTCTCCTCCCCGCCCCGCTCGCCGGGGCAGAACCGCACACCTCCGTCTTGGAGTTCAACCAAGCGGTCGGCTTTCTTGTCCTGGCTGCACAGCCGGCCTGTCCGTTCGGTGCCTGGAACCTCACTCGTAGAAGATTGCCAGCCCTGCGCATTCCTTCTTCCGGAGGCTGCACCACTTGTTTCTTACATCATTTGTCTTCATGGCTCGTCCTGTGAACTCCCGCTGCTTTGGGATTGTAGACTTCTTTTCTTGTTTTCCTTTCACCTTTTTGTGTCCCTTTGCATGTGTCAGGCTTGACCCAATACCTCAGCCCACAGTTTATCTTTTGACTTACATAATTTTATATACTTTGGAATTTCACGTTAACGTTTTGTAAGCGGTTATTTGTAGAAACTCAGCAGTGTTGTGGGGTTTTCGTTAGGGTGAGGAGAAATCTCCACTGGCAACCATGTCTCTAGCAGTTAACCCAGGCAGCCATCCCTATGCTGGGGAGGAATACTTCCCTGGTGGAAATTGACAAGCGAACAACTAATTAACACCTAACGGTACAATGAGGTCGAGTTCAGTTCTGTAAAGTACTGGTGTGTGAGCCACCCACAGCCTCAGTGGAAGACTCCATGCTACCACACTTTTCGTTGGCCTTGAAGGACAATGGAATTTCTTCGGACAGGACAGAATGGACTGGCACTACTCACAGAAAAAAGAGCATGTGCAGAGGCACTAAGTTGTGCTGTCGGGGGTGGGAGTGAGGGGAGACGGGCTAGGACACTGGGCAGTACTGAGAATTTAGGCTAGAAAGCCCACCTGGTAAAAGCGCTTGTGTATATTGATGAGAATTTTCAGAAGCAGTTTATTTTTGGACGTTCAGATGGAAGAAAGTGTGTTTTTTCCCAAGGTTGGAAAAACAAGTTTCTGATCTGTGAGCTTTTGCTCCCCGTAACAGCAGCTAAGTTTGGGGGCAGAAAGGGAGATTTTTCTCCTAGGACCTGAGAAATTTCTGCCCAAGCACCTACTACAGTCCCTGGCACACAGAGGAGGTCTTAAGTATATGGTGCCCGTTTTTGTAATCACATTTAAGGCCATACGACTGGTAGGTTTCAGAAAACTGATCCAGTGCTCTCTCCACTACAAAAACTTAAGAGACTTTTTTTTTCTAATTTATTTCTGAGAGAGAGCATGAGCAGGGGAGGGTCAGAGAGAGAGAGAGAGAGAGAGAGAGAGACAGAATCTGAAGCAGGCTCCAGGCTCTTAGCTAGCTGGCAGCACAGAGCCCGATGCAGGGCTCGAACCCACGAACCCTGAGATCGTGACCTGAGCCGCAGTCAGATACTTAACCGACTGAGCCACCCAGGTGCCCCTCATTTTTTAAAGTCATCTTTAAAGATGATGATAAGTAGTAAATAAGGTTATTTACTTCTACCTTTAAAAAAGTTTAAGTCCTCTTAAATTCATTTACTACTTGGACATTATCCATGTTAGTAGGTGGGGCTGCATGTCTTAGGCATTTTTTTTAAAACATTTATATTTGCTTTTTGAATATTATTTTAACCTTGGCATGTAAAAACAGATATACTTGGTCACTTTAAAAGCACCAAGCGCTGTCACTAGACTTCTTTCTAAAAGGTAGTTTGTAAATTAGAGTCTGGTCGCTGTTGTGTGAAACATCTCTAGAGCGTCCACCCATCTCCAGAAGAATTTCTTCGCCTGGAATTTTAAGAGACAGTCTTCTGACCTCTAGCTTTTCTCTTGACATGGGGCCTTTTAGTTTGCTGTTCATACCTTGCAGTTTCTCCGTCGCTGCTTTTATGCTGTCTCTTCATTCAGAGTACTCCATCCCTTCCCACATCATCACATGTATAAATCCTTCTCACACTTTGGACCAGATTAGATGCCACATTTTCCTGGAGCCTCCCTTGACTTACCTGTCCCCAGGTGAAAGAAATGTCTGTTCGCCATATTACCAGTTTCTCTCTTAGGGGTCCGGTAAAGAAATTTACTTCTTTACCAAACTTAAAGACTTTTTGAAGTCAGGTTCTTCGTCAGGGTTCTCTTTTTATTTCTGAAACCTTGAGGATGGCACATCATTAGTAGAGGCAAGGAGCAAATTAGGAACTCCAATCTAGAAATCTCTTGGACAGCAGGGCAGGGGACAGCCCTTTGTTCTCTGGCCTTTTCACAGACAGATCAGGACCCATTTGCTGAGTTGTGAAATCCAATTTACTGAGTAGTGCTGCTCATTTTTTATAATGCAACAGGAAATACTAACCGTGCATCTTAGGTTACACAAATCCAAGTATTCACCAAACTCCTTTCAGTTAACTTTTTCCCTGTGTTATGTATACAGTGATTTGTGTTACAAGATATGTTTCTTCCCAGGAATTGTGGTCAGAAATGTTTGAAAGCACTCTTACAGTCTTTACCTGGTAGTGGTTATTAAGTATGACACTTTCGGGTGGCCTTTCACGTGCTTATGATTGAGTTTTTGGAAGTTTTAGTTTTAAAACATGTATGGAGCCACATAGAATGGATTCCTAGTAGTTAGCTACATTTAGGGATCTGCACCTTGAACTGGGGAAGAAGGATTTTCATGGGAGCCAAAATAGAGACACACTCACTCTTTGAGGGAGAAACTGTGTTAGGATCCAGAGCCGGACTGAGTAAATCTGGCTGACTTAATTTTGTTCAGATCTTGGTCGGAAAAGCATTTGAGGAAGGACGGTGTCCCATTATATTGCAGTTTTGCTAACTGAAGCTCATGATAATAGGAGCACATGGCTTCAGGGAAGCCAGTTAGGTACACACGATTAGCAGTCTCAGTATAATGCTGTAATCTGAATCTCATTAATATGAGAGAGAATTAGATTGAGAACTGCCAACGTTTTTAACCTGTCCAAGTATAATGGATTGAAATGTCTTTGAATTGGAGTGCTTTTTATTTTATTTATTGCCAGGATAAACTAGGTAAGAAGAAAATCTGCATTTTATTAATCATGTACTTGATAAGATAAATTTGTGGAAAGTAGCGATCAAGGGGAAAAAAAAAGGATTTGGGTGGGGGAGGTGTTGAAATAGGACATGGCTTCATGATCCTAAACTTTTTTTTAAGTTTTTAATGTTTTATTTATTTCTGAGAGGGAGAAACAGCGTGAGCAGGGGAGGGTCAGAGAGAGAGAGGGAGACACAGAATCTGAAGCAGGCTCCAGGCTCTGAGCTAGCCGGCAGCACAGAGCCCGACACGGGGCTCGAATCCACGAACCGTGTGATCATGATGTGAGCCGAAGTCAGACGCTTAACCAACTGAGCCACCCAGGCACCCCATGAGCCTAAACTTTTAAATTGACTATTGAGATACAGTTTAGACACAAAGGGTAATCATCCTAAGTGCACATTTCGATGAACTTTATACACCTATGCAAAAACCACAACAATAAAAATATATAAAACATTTTCATCACCCTGAAAAGTTCCAGATGCTATAATCCCAATTAACTTCCTACCCTTACCCCTCTTCCCCTTTCCAGTCCCAGGAAACCACTGACTTGTTTCTGTCTTTAGGCTATTATGGTCTTTTTAGGGATTCATATAAATGGAATCCCTTGTGCTCTTTTGTATTATGACCCTTAATTCTTTAATTTTACTAGTTTACAAACATAAATCTATTACACTGCAGTTAGAGACAAGATAGTTCAGGGAAGACCATTTACTTCCCTGGCAGAGCTGCTTAGTCTTGCTGAAAACGAATTCTCTGTTCCCAGAATCAGGAGTTGACTTTAGTTAACTAGTTCAGGAGTGAACCAGTGTAAAAAACAAAGTCGGTTTGTTAATATGCAGTGAGAAATAACCATGAAGTTTACTTGTGTTGTTGATCATATTTGTTCCCTGTTGCTATATCTGCCTGTAAATCCAAATTAGCTAGTTGCTTGGTGAGCATTCTATCAGAGTGAGGGGTGTGACTTAGAGAACCATATGGCTACAGAACATCGTGCTGTGACAGCATAGTCATTGTGTCCTTATTTATGGCTCTCTTACTCTGCATACCCTTTTGGTTATGAGTAATAGGCTATGCACACATTTTAGTACAAACATTTTTCAAACATGTAGTGAGGTTGAAAGAATTTTATAATGTACCCATCACCTAGAGTGAGCTGTTCACGTCGTACCATACTTACCGTTCTTGACTTATCGGGTATTTCTATCCATTCCATCGATCAATCCATCTTATTTTTGATGCATTTCAACGTGAATGTTAGACCTCAGTATACTTCTTCCTAAATACTTGCACATGCACTTGATTATATTTTTATTTCTTTTACACCATATTGAGACAGCTTACAAGTGATTAATCTCATCTACCATGTGTGGATCTATGGATAGTAGTGCATTGCTTTGCTGACAAAATGTGCAGTTCACTTTAGCTCACATAAGTTGATCATTCAAATTTAGGAACTTCTGAAGGCCTGGAGAAAAATTGGGGGGCAAAGATTTATGTACATTTTGTTTATATATACCTATACCTTCCCCATATTTCCAAGAAATGACTCTCTGGCAGTTGGTATAATTTTAAATTTTGAATCAAGTCTAGCTAAGGTTCTCAAATATCATTTCCATGTATCTAATTGTGTCCTTATATCAGAAGAGTCTGTAACTGTTAAGGGGTGTGAGAAGGATAAATTTGACCAAGGCCTGGATATTCGATGATATTAAAGACTTAGTAATTCTATAATGTTTGAAATTATACTGTGGAGACAATATTGTGATAAAATGTTAAAGACAAAAGAAGAGTCCTTATTCTTTAGAGATCGATGCTGAAGTGTTTACAGAAATTTGGAATAATACAGTGTCTGGGATTTATTTCAAGTATTTTAGGGGTAAGTGGAAAGTGGACGAGATGTGTGAAACAGGATTGGCCATGGGTAAGAATTGGAGATGGTTGTGTGGGGTTCATTAATAATGTTCTCACTATTCTTGTATAGATTTGAAAATTGCCGTAAAGAGAATTGAAATTATACAATAAAAGGTAGGATATTACTAGGCATTCAAATGCAAGAGTGAAGGAAACTTCAGTTCTTTTTAGAGAAACTCATAGCTTTAATAAGTTATATAAAATTTTTCCTTCTGTTTAATCTATAAACATCATTTTTGCTATTATGCCTTCCTCTGAGTTAAAATGCAAATTCCTAAACCTTTGTTTGAGCTTCTACTTAATGAAGAATTTTATAAGCAAAATGGTTGACTTCAGGTATGAGTAATTTACTCACTAAGTAATAAACCCTGAAATTTTACATTGCAGACCATATGTAGAGAACTAGAGTACGTGTTTGGTATGGTATTGGCAGGCAGCAAATGTATGTTATAAACTGAACAAACTGTTTCCTCTCTGAAGTGCATGTGAACCTGAGAACCAGTGTTAAATAGGCCTTGTAACAAATGATACTGTAGTTTAATGAGTATTTCTAAGATGGGTGTGTTGCACTACTGGTAGGATTGAAAGGTAAGGCTGCCAATAAGACATGACGAAAAGCACTTTTAAGACACGCCAAATGGCATTGTGATGTGAGTGTGGCATGTAATCGTAGATACAAGTGAGAGCAAAATGAACATTTCCTGTTCTCTTCCCCAATTGTCTTACAAATGAAGCACAGCAGGAAGGTATCGATGTTAATCATATGGCGAGGCTTCTGTTAACAATCTCACTTAGTTTCTTTTCCAGCCTTTCTAATAGGAGTGCATTTTGCAGTCTTCTAGGATCTCCAGAGTGAAGTTCACCGTGGCCAGGACTGTAACTGGGAGGGATCATGGAGCAGTACACAGCAAACAGCAGTAGTTCCACAGAACAGATTGTTGTGCAAGCTGGACAGATTCAGCAGCAGGTATGGACGTAAAACTGCTTTAAATGGCCCAGCGATGGAGCTGATACTGGCACCACTCAAGTGGGGATTTCAAGGTACCAGATCTTAGGACTAATAGGTCTGGTGACTTGTGCCGAAGTGCTTTTTGAAGATTGGAATTGTTGCCATTTCTCTCGTGTTCCATGCACTCAGGGCTCTGTAGTCCATCTGTGACCACAAAAAATCTTGTTCTCCATGGGAGCCTGGTTTAATACAGAATTGCCCATTTTATTTTACTAAAATGTCTGTCTTCAAAATAGTCTGTTCTCAGACGGGAATTTGGAACTTGGGCTTTTTTTCTGGATTCAGGTTTGTTGTTTCTCTTCTTCATTAAGCTAGCCTGTGATCTTTTAAGGCTTCGGCCACCGTGGATACACCAAGATAGTCCACTTCCAAGAAATCCACTGTTCTTTGATTTGATCCGCCACGGTGCTTATTTTGAAAAGCTCTAGATCAGCTTGAGGTTAATATTTAGACAACCACTTGTAGGGATGAGCTCATATTAGAAAGGAATTCCCTGCCAGTTTGTTCCTAATTAAGATAGATTCCTTTCTTGAATTTATACAGAGATTACATTTTCTGATGCTCTGTCCCTGGCTTTATTTTAGTGAAAAGTTTATTTGTATTTCTCCCTTGAAGAAAAGAAAGTTGTTACACATTGATTGGACCCAAGGCCAAGATTGGGAATGTTTTGTCTCCAAAAGGGAACTTAGAGAATAAGAAAAAAATATAAAGTAGGGAGTGCAAAGGCTATTTTGATCGTGAGCTGTGCCTATCTGATGATCAAAGGCAAGAGCTGACTCTTGATTAAGAGTAATTATTTAAATTCCTTCACTGGCTTTCCTTCCACACAGCTGCTGTGGCTCTGGCAGCTTCCTTCAGCCGCCTTCTTAGGAAAGGGGACTCCACAAAGGGCCCTCTATTCACACCAGGGCCCTGATGGACAAATTCTTGTTCTGTTAGAACTTCCCTTTAGAGATTATAAAACTTAGGTTAAATCACTGAAAATATTGTTTCTAAGGTAATCCAACTGAATAGAAGTAATTTTCAGTTTGGGGACATGAGGGCATTGACCAGCATGAAGATGATTTTGGTTCAGAGTGATTGCTTCATTCTTTCTATCTGGTGATTGTATTTAAGTCCCAGAAATTCTTCACTGTAGCTTCAAAGCTGTAAAAAACCTGATAGCTTTGTTGTTGTGAACTCCTCTGAAGAAATAAAAAGAGCATGAAAATAACAATAAGCAGAAGGATCAAATGCTTATTTCTGAGGGGTAAGGATTGCATTAGACATTTTTGTGTTAATGATGACAACTGTTTTGATGATATGAGTCCTGGAAGTCTGTTTTGAGTTTCACTCTGGGGACAAGGGCTGATATCTTTAATTCTGCAACCCACAACAAGACAGCTTTAGTATAGGGAGTCTGTACAGTTTGAAAGTCCTCTGTTGGCTGGGCCTGTTCAAAGAAGACTCCCTCCCTTTCCCGGAAGAGGTAAGGTATTCTCATGACTTGAACTATACATTTCCTTCCTGATACATTTCAAGCTTTTCCTGTTCCTGTTCTCAGCAGCAGGGTGGTGTCACTGCTGTCCAGTTGCAGACTGAGGCCCAGGTGGCATCCGCCTCAGGCCAGCAAGTCCAGACCCTCCAGGTAGTGGTGCCCTCTCTGATTCTCTGTAAGCACTGCATGAACTTCTCCTGTCCTCATGTCTAGTGCTCTTTGTGGTAGGGTCTCAAGGAGGAATGGCAAAGTCAACTGCATGTCTTTGATGCTGTTAACTTGTCTTTGAGGCTTGTAAGAGTCCAGTTTCCTCATGCTTCATGCCTAGTCATGTAGGTGACCTCAGTATCCATTTCCTGAAAATTGAATTTGGCTGTTGTGTTTCTTTGGGGATACCTGGGAAGGAAATGGTATAAGTGACAGGAAGAAATTCTTACAAGTGGCATTAGAATCTGTTCAAAGCTCAAGCCCTGTAGTCAGATTGCATAGTAAAATTTTGCAAATTTGGGTTATGATAGCAGAATAGAAAATATCTAGGGTTAGATTGAGCTTTATTTTTATTAAAAGGGCTACTCGGGTGCAGAATAATCATTATACTTGGCAGGGTTTATCCAATCAGTGAGTCTTGTTAATCTCTTAACTGTTGCCTTTTCACTACCTTTCCTTGGGAAACCATGACCTATTTTATTATTAGATTTGCAAAGATTATCTTATACCTCTTGGTTGGACAGAGGTGGCGTATGCTTTCTAGAAGTCTCAGGTCTTAGAGCCACTATAAGAATTCTTACTTAATGAGTGCAGTTCCATAACATTATATATGGCCAAGTTCAAGGTCCTAAATCGGGGGTATATTTTGGCCAATTCCTAGGTAAAAATGAAAAGTAGAAGCATTTAGGTCTTCTCTGTCTGCCCATTACTTTAACATGACTGTATTTTTGAGAAATTGGCAAAATTTGAGTGCCCTGCCTTTTTTCCCTCCAGTGAATGGAAATGATTCAAAGTAGGACCTCGAATGCAGAAGTGGCATCTCATTAGTGCTGCTCAGCACCCTGCAGTTGCCTGGCCCTTACCTCGATCGTCTTTTACGTTACCCTTTCAGCCTCAGCCCCACGCCTACCTCCCGTGTGTCTGATGATGCCCTGCAGGCAGTTCTGAACATACCCTGGGCTGGAAAAGGCTGAGCTTGTAGGTGCTCCCAAACTGTGTTTGAATCTCGGACTTCAGCAGCTTGTTATTCATGCTTTTCATGCTTGCTTCATCTTATTGATATATGAAACAGTATTGTCATTAACCACCTGTGGAATGGGAATGTAACATGCTCTTAACTGTATGGCTTCTTGTCTGATGCATGTGTCCTTGTAGTCATTCATATGTCGTAAACATAGTGGGCTCCTTGGAGTCTCCCAGTGCTTTATCATGTACGTGTTTAGCATGTCCATGAGGGGAGACGTTTAAGATAACGGGTAGCCAGAAAAGTATGAACAGTTGTGCCTTAAAACTTGTGTTTCTTGCTAACGTGGATTTTCTTGAAAAGAAATGGCAACACCTTATGGAAATGATGAAAACTTTTCCTCTAGGCGCCTCATTATTTTGAAGAATCTTAAATACCTGTTTCAGTTATTCACGTAATAAATATTCAGAACAGTCCTTTCTGGAGTATATGCAAGCATGACTGTAGCAAAGGGAATTTAATTTGATAAGGAAAGGAGAAAACATGAGAGAATCAGATTGTAAAGTCCTTTAAAAAGTAAAGTGGAATTTCTCAGCAGTTGATAAAACTTAGGTTGCAGTGTTCCTGAAGATTCTGATGCTTTTGGTGGTGGTGGTGATCGTGAGGAGGGGACCTTAATATCTAATCTATTCATCTAGGGCAGATTGATCTTTTAACCAGTTACTGTTATTTAAACATACTTGCAGTGACATTAAGAATGAATAGTTTAGTCACGAAAAGCCTTATGTTCTGCAAAAATAATTCCTCAAAACAGAGATAGCATCTGAAAGTGAAAGGTTTGGACTTTTAGCTATTGTTTTGAACATTCCATTTCACTTCTAACATGGCTTGTTTTTTGGTTTCCAGAATGCATACAATTAGTTAGGTATTTCTTTATTGGGACTCAGAATGTTACAGAGCATGTATAATGCCTTGACTTCTAGAGTGGTTCATTTACTCCCAAGAGCTTGAAAGTTGGGAGGGTTTTTTGGTACACTTGAGTGTGTAATTCCCATATTCATCACTGCTTCTGTTAAAACTAAAACAACTCTCACAGAGTCCAGTGTGAGGAATTCTACTGCAGAGATTGAAAACTGACCAGAAGATATTTCTAGGCCTTTTCCTAGTGGGCCCTTTTTAAAAACAACCATAGGACTAGAATTCCCAGAGTGAGATGAAGAAGATAAAAGTTGTATATTTCATTTGTGCCTGAGGGACTGTGAGGCAAAAGGGTCTTCTCCATAAGCTTCCAGAGCTGCTTGGTAGCCAGCCTCCTGCAGTCTCTGCTGGGTACTTTGATTTATTCCTTCTAGGTTATTTAGAATGTGTACTCAGCCACCATCACCACCATCAACCTTCCCTCTCATTGCTTCCTCTCCAGCCTTCCCTAGAAACTATTCCTGAATATTGGTCTCAAAAGGCACATAGTCTGGATGTTTTGATAAGTACTTCTCATGGATTTAGCCTGTATTTGCTGATAAATGCCTTAATATCTATTGAGACTTCCTAAAGATCCTGAATATACTTCATTATATCTGACCTTAAAGTATTCAACTTGGCGTTTAGTCAAAGATAGAATATTTTTAAAGAAGGTAACTTGAGTACAAGGACTTGAGACTTACTTTCTTAGTGTCTTTCCTACCTTTTCCCCCTCCACCAAGGCCACAGAATAATTCCAGTGATTATCTTTTGGTGAAAACCATTTTGTGTCTTAATGTTATTTCATTGTTCTTATTTTATTTCATTTTAGGTCCAGGGGCAGCCATTAATGGTACAGGTCAGTGGAGGCCAGTTAATCACATCAACTGGCCAGCCCATCATGGTCCAAGCTGTCCCTGGTGGACAAGGTCAAACCATCATGCAAGTACCTGTGTCTGGGACACAGGGTTTGCAGCAGGTGAGTGATGCAAAAAAATGTTTGGACAAAATATCAGAATAGAGGTCTTAAAGACAAGGTCGTTAGAAACTATTAGACATCGATTTTATGTTTGTTTGACAGCCTACATTCATAGTTAGTCAGTTTTGTACTTTTGTGGTATCTGTGATAATAAAGGAGAGCTCTATAGAAATTGGGCATTTCTGAGAAGGACAACATATTAGGCATGAACTTGAGTCTGTATAAAAAATACAAAAAGATGAGTGTCTAGTTTAATAGAAGTAATGCATTGGTTTGATACTCAGAGCTTCTAGGAACTGAAGGAGGGAATTTATAGTTGGAAATTACAATTGGAAATTGTTGTTTTTGGTCTGAAATGTCATCCTTTCATTTCTTTCCAAGTACTTTATAGTTTGAATTATTTGGCAGGTGATAAAAAAGAAAGTGATAAAAAAGAAAGTGTTTCAATCCAAACCCATTGCACATACCTATACTTAGAGCAAAATTTATAACCCTTAAATACTTTTATTTTAAAAGAGCTGAAAACTGGGATTTCTTTCATAAAGTTATGAAAAGAATAAAATGAGCAAAAAAGTAGGTTAAAATTAAAGAAAACTATCAAAAATGTAGGAAGGGTAAATAAAAATGGATTCTTTAAACAGATCAATAAAGTAGGTGAAGCCACTGGAAAGACTGATTCCAAAAAGAAGGGTAAATAAGACATGCGGCTCTGTGGCATCAAATTTTTAAAAACTAGAGAAATTTTTATCAAGTAGGTAAAAATTAAAAAGAGTTTATATATCCAGTGCTAGAATGTATGTAGAGAAAAGGAAACACTCGTTATTATTGGTAATTTAAAATTCTGAAGGCATCTCGCTATTAAATTCATAAACATAAACCTTTGTTCTTTCTGCCCCACTTCTGAGAATCTTTTGTGTAATAAGAAAAGGATCTTTGTTGGAGGGGGGGAATGGGAAATGTACAAAGACATTTATTGCCACACTGTACTAGCAAAAAATAAGATTGTGACCTGAATGTCTCTTTCATCAATAAGGATAAAGAAATGTCCAAATACATCATACTCCATATATGGAATATTTGTATCCTTATTAAAAAGGACGAACTGTTAGCTAGGGAGGTAGTCAATGTTGAAGTATTTTTAGTAAAAAATAATTTGCTGAGAAATAATGTGATTTCTGTAATAAATAGCCAAACACCTGTGGGTATGTAGATTTGTTTATCTATGTTTCATTTTAACAGTTAAAATGATCACATTAATAATTCAGTTTTTCTTACCACCTTTAATCCCTTCATAATGATTCTTCAATTTGATGAATCAGGATTTACAAAGTGTATTCAGAGAATTTTCTTTTTGGTTTGCTTTGTTTTTGTTGGTTTTTTTTTGCTTCTATAGGTAAGGTTAACTGTAAATGTATTTGAGTATGATTGCTTTATTTTTCAGTTGAATTCTTAAGGTAATTTCCTTGTAGTGGGGGGATTGCTTGAGCAAAGGGTGAGACCATTTTTAAGGCCATTGGCATATTTTTGCCAAGATAGAGTTGTAGTTAGGATTAAAAATAGTTTCCACATTGCTCCATGCATAAATGCATGAGGCTTTAAATATATTCTGTGATTGTGCTTACCGCAGTTTCATACTGCTGTTTCATTTCTGTCCTTCCTCTCATTGCCTCCTCTCTCAGCCCTCCTTGCCACGCCTTCCTCTCCACTGTCGAATAGAAACTGTGATATACCACCAGGAATAGTGTACTGTGAGTGCAAGTGGCCTGACTTTCATCCCCAAGTCTGCCATTAAACAGGATTTCTGGTCTTGCTCAAGTCATTTGATTCTCCTTGTTCTCATCCAAAAATGCGGTTTATATCAGGTGATTCTTAGGGTTCATTCCAGCTCTAAATTCTGTGATTTTATGGGAGATTTTTTGGTCTTTAAGAGACTTTGAGAGGTTATCTATCTCATTCCATTCCCTCCCAAGTAGGACTATAATCACAGCATCCTGGAGAAATTCTTTTCTATTAACCTGTATAAAGCTCTAGGTACAATTTTGAAGAAGAGTGTTTCTTAGCCTTTTATTGTTGGTTGGTTGTTCTGTTGTTGTTTTTTTTTTAAACCTTTGTTTGGATTACATGCTCTATTAGAATTCCAGTGAAACCTATACCCCTTAGAAAAGGTGCAGATATCCAGATACATGCTAAATTTGTGTATAATTTTGGGTTAAGATCCCTGGCTTGATAAAGACAGTGGAATCAAAGCAGAGAGGAGGAAAAAAAGGCAAGAACATTGGATGTTGATATATAACAAATACAGTATAAAATATTCTTGAAGAAGTGGTTTAAGAATGACATAGAAAGAGAAGATCGGTTTCTACTTCATACTATATATATTTAGTAGATTTACAGGCCTCAATGTAAAAAACCCTACTTGGAAACTTTTAGACTTTATTCACTGGAGAATTTTCTGTATGTAGTGGAGGTAGAGCAGTAATTTTTTTAGAGACATAAAACCCGAATTGATTTGCATACTTAAATTTATATACATCTAAATGTAAATAAAAGTAAAAGGATGCAGGTGTGTGGAAGATATTAGTACATATAGCTGGGTTTGTATCCAACATGCACAAAGAACGTTTATATATTGATAGGAAAATGACAATCAAGTAGAAAAATGGGCATAGAATATGAATAGATGGTAAAGGAAACCTAATAACTAAAACAGGCATTCCTTGCTATTTGAAATGCAGGTAGGAAATAGATTCAGGTAACTAAATTGTTTACTTATTTATTCGCTACTACTTTCTTTTTTTTTTTTTTTTATGTTTTATTTATTTCTTGGAGAGAGAGAGAGAGAGAGAGAATGTGAGCAGGGGAGGGTCAGAGAGAGAAGGAGTCACAGACTGAAACAGGCTCCAGGCTCTGAGCTGGCAGTCAGCACAGAGCCCGATGTGGGGCTCGAACCCACGAACCGCGAGATCATGACCTAAGCGAAAGTCGGACGCTTAACCGACTAAGCCACCCGGGCGCCCCTATTCGCTACTACTTTCTAAGTGCCAATTATGAGCTGAGTATTTGGAAAAGGTAGTTAAGAAGACCTAGGTAGAGGATTCTGGGAAGATGGCAGAGCAAGACATATCAGGAATCTGTCTCCCCATTTACACGACAGTTGCACTCGCAAAATCTGATATAAACTATTTTGGAACTCTGGATTCTCTTGAAAACTTTTTTACTTGCAGGGCAAGGCATAGACTTATATTGAAGGTAATTTCATTCTGCGTTTAGCACAGTGTCAGCTATCCAGTACCCTAGCAGGCAACTGCATACATGTCTTAGAGGAGCTTATGTGCGGCTTAAAGGAGCCAGGGTGAGCAAAATGGACCTTGTTCTCTAAAATCAGATCATTGATTGCCGTTTCTGATCACAGAGGTGCAGACAAAGGCCAGCAAGATGCATGGAGCAGAAACTGACAGAACTGAGGAGAGAAATAGACAACAACTCTGCAACAAGAGTTGGAGACGTTAGTACCCTCCTCTTAACAATAGGCAGAACAACCAGAAAGAAGATAAGTAGGGAAGTAGAGTACATGAAACAACAGACCAAGTAGATAAGACAAGAATACATAGGATAATCAACAATAGCATAAACATTGTCCTCAAGTGCATATGGGACACCTTCCAGGAGAGACCATATGTCAGGTCACAAATTAAGTCTTAGATAGACTGCATATGAAGTATCTTCTTTGACCATAATAGGATGAAGTTAGAAATCAACAAGAGAAATAAAAGTAGAAAATTCACAAATTCATGGAAATCTAATAGTACACTCTTAAGTAATCAGTGGCTCAAAGGAGAAATTACATGAGAAACTAGAAAATACAGACAAATGAAAACAAAGACACCACATACCAAAACTCAAAGGACATGGCAAAAACGGTGTTCAGGGGAAATTTATGGCTATAGATGCTTACATTAAAAAATGAGAAAGATTGACAGTCTACAACTAACCTTATAACTTCAGGAATGAGAAAAAGAATGAATTTAACCCAAAGCTGGCCAAAAGAAAGAAAGAGCAGAGATAAATGAAATAATAGGAAAACAGTAGAGAAAACAAATGAGACCAAAAGTTGGTTCTTTGAAAATAACAAAATTGACAAATCTTTAGCTAGATAGACTAAAAAAGAAAAAAAAAAATCTCAAATAACTAAAATCAGAAATGAAAGGGAGGGAGGTTCCTGGGTGCTCAGTTAGTTAAGTGTTTGGCTCTTGATTTTGGCTCAGGTCATCATTATCTCACAGTATGTGAGTTCAAGCCCTGCACTGGGCTCTGTGCTGTCAGCATGGAGCCTGCTTGGGATTCTGTCTCTCTTTCTCTATCCCCTAACCCAGCTTGTGCTTTCTCTCTCTCTCTCTCTCTCAAAATAAATAAACTTTTTTAAAAAATTATAAAAAAAGAAACAAAAGTGAGGATGTTATTACTAATTCTATAGAAATGAAAAGATCATAGGAGTATTATGAGCCAGGGAGGAGTTAGCATGGCAGAGTAGTAGGTAGCCATATGCTTGCGTCATTCCCTCACACACAGTCAGACGAATATCAAACCATTCTGAACACTTAATTCTATCCGATAGCTGAGAGAACTGCACATCTGGAGGGAGAAAAATGGCCACATAATGGAAGTAGAAGCTGCAGAGAGTTGATTTGGGGGAGAAAAGAATTGTGGGTGCCACAGAGAGGATGGAGCTCTGAACATTGAGAGAGAAGGAGCAGTATGCAGGGGATTGCATGAGAAAAGCTCTCGCCTAAAACTATTGCCTGGGAAAAGGAGAAGGGCTGGTTATTCCAAGTTTTTGCAAGCAGTGGAGCAGGAAGCCTAAAGTTTTGGAAGTCCACACCATTGTGAGAATCCTGCCTGGCAGGCTTAGCAGTTCATCTGTGGGGAAGGAGGGCAGAGGCCTGTGAGCAGACAGTGTGTTCTGAGGGGCTCCTGGATTGCACAGGGATCAACAGTTTCCC